TGAGGTTCTTGGGGAGTTATGTTTTTCACCTGATAATTTATTGGTGTAAATCAGGTGTATTAAAAGATGTCACAGTGCAATTTCAGTTTGCTACCCTGTAGGCATGAAAAAAACCCAGTTGAAGTACTGTCTAGAGAAGGCTGGCTATTTTATATGCCTTCTATATATAAAGGATGAGACTTTTCTTGTCATCTTAATTTTGCTCTTGCCATGGTGGTAAGTGTATTGACATTTATAAATTATTAATATCTATATTAAAATGGAATATAGCTCTAAGGAACCTGGCATTAAAACACTGAGATATATTATATGTCCTTTCCTCAGGTATAATTCTGACAGTGCTCCCTTTGGAAATCCTATTATCTTGCCTATGTCAGGAAAAGTTAATGTGTTTGTGACCGTAGGCATGCGTTTCTGTGGCTCTCTGATTAATGATTTTCCTGTTATGTAAAATCTTCAAAAACAAGATAGAATTTTCCTAGTATACGCTATGTTGATAGAACTGTAATTATCATTCACAACAAAGCGAATAATAAGAAAGATTTCCTGTGATTATAGGTGTATTTAGTAGAGTAGAAACATGCAGATGTCTAAGTTGGTGATATTTCTGTAATCTCTTCTGCCATTAAATTTTGTCTGAATAATCAGTGTTCAATGACTCTTACAAATTAGACATTTACTGTGCTATTTTGTAACTGGAGTAAGGTTTTCAAATTTTATCCACGTGTACTTGGGACAGTTGTAGATGTGTTCCTTGTTCCAACTTACGTAATAGTTGAAGTCACTTCTCTTTTTCTTCTAAATAGGTAATGTGGCACTTGACAATTTACAGATAAAGGAGAATGCATTAGTAAGTATTCTAATAATTTTAAAGTTGTTTTTATATGTCTAGAGATTAATTAACAGGAGAAAATATTACTTACTGTAGTCTAATGTTACACAGTATGCCTTCTTTATTGGCTATTGGAAGTAAGTCCTTGGTTAACTGCTTCTAATTTTGCTCATGTTACTGGAACAGAGAAAGGAAAGAAGCTATGGTTGAAAAGGTAAGTGTGCTCCTTCAGAAGAGAAAAATAACTTCTGAGAAGTTAGCAGTTGGGTTTTGAAGTGAGTTTCCCAGTGTTTTATGCATGCATATACAACCTTTGAGGCTTGAAATGATAAAACTTTAAATAAGGTATTGGTGTATTTCTGTTACCTTTTTGGTCACCCAGTACAACTTAAAGGATTTAATTTCTGCTGTGACTGCACCTGTATAATCATATGAGCTGGTCTGATGAGCCGAGGCCAACGGTATGAGATTCAGCAAGGCCAAGTGCCAGATCCTGTACTTGGGTCACAACAACCCCCTGCAACGCTACAGGTTTGGGGAAGAGTGGCTGGAAAGCTGCCTGGTAGAAAAGGCATTAAGATGTGTACTTTCTGAAAGTAAATATAGTTATTCGATGCTTCATTCTGTTCCTTTTAAAATAGGAATGATGAGTGAAGGAAAAACAAGAAATAACTTGGAATAAGTACCCATATTTTCATCTGAAAAAAAACTTGGCTGATTTTTATGTTCTTTAATTGAGCTAATGAATACCTCTACTACTGAGAGAATCTTACTGCAATCTTTAGTGTGCCTCAAACTTCTCTAGAAAGAACTGTTACTCTTCCGTGAATTGAAAACATCTTGGATCTTTGTATGACTTAATCATTGGTTTCTCTTTATTGCTCTGAAATTTCATATTTAACCTGCCCATTTCATCAATTTCTGATAACTTTGTTGTACTTTAAAACTCTAGATACAAATATCTTTGTAATCTGGTAGTTAAAATAAAAAAAAAGGAAGAATGTGTTATCTAGTTTATACATGTCTTTCCTTCTTATGATGACAGCAAGGTTGATTACAATTCTAGCAATTCTGATTTACAAAAACACAGACTGACCAGGGCTGAAAGACAGGAATGTGACGTGCTCCAACTTTTTCTCTTCTAGTTTGTCTGCTGCTGTCTGGATTACTTATGTTTTCCTCTGAAGGTTTTCCATTAGAAAATAAATCAGTTTTTAATTTCTGTATATAGATACAGTACTTCTCAAATGTAAGAAAAAAAAAAAGTCCTTAGGAAAAAGGGAGATGAGCAAATAGTTACTTTTAGTGTTATGGTTGCCAAGTCAATTTTTTTCCTTAGTCATAGTAAAAGACCATTTCATTAAAAAGGAAGTTTGTCAGACCTCAGTCAAAATTTAGGATTCAACTCATGCAAAATCAACTTAAGAAGACGAGTTTAAGATTTCTAGAATAAAATTCTACAAAATTATTTTACAAATGGATTCTTAGGCACCTTGAAAATGTAACCGTTTTTCCCCCAAAATATGTTAGAGGGAGTTTGCTGACACAAAGTGCTGAAGTGTCATTCTGTGGAATATTTCATCTTTGGGGCTGTTGTTTTGGTTTGTGTGGCTTCAGCTATAAAAATACAGAAGTATAATGGGGCCATTGCTATTAATGTTCCTTTTTTACTGTGTTAAAAACTTGTAGTGGTGATAGTAATGAATACTTTCCAATTGATTTCTTCGGCTTTATCCTATTTTTCAATCATAATGAAAAATGACTGATGACAAACTATGACTTTATACTCTTTAGCAACCTGTTACATGCTTCTTATCTTAGATTACCATCAAAAAGCTTGAACTCTGAGCTTCTTTACTTGTGAATTTGTATCTAGTATCCAGTTGGTCATAGCTCTTAAAACCTTCAAAGCTAATATTGGCTGTTTCTTCTCAGTTATAGTCTTGGAGGATTTTCAGTAAATCATCTTTTTTTCATGTTAACATCCAACCTCAATGCTCTCATGGTTTTTAATTTATGTTAATATATTGTCTTTAGTTTCTAGTATTTCCTTAATTCCCCACCCCGTGGAATTTAATATTCTGAAAACTAATTTTTCAAGGTCAAACTCATGGTCCTATCCTTTCAGTAGGCCAAACTGAGCTAGTGCCCCTTAGAATTCAGCTGTGGGTCATAAACGCAGTATTAAATGGAATGTATTTGGTTGCTGGTAGGTGCTTCTGCATGACTGCTCCTGGCTCTATCAAGTAGAGATCTTTGTTTACTCTCACAATTTGTTTCAACCTCTTCTTAAGCCTATCCTTACGACTAAAACCAAGGTTTAGAGATCAAACTATTTTAAGTGAGTCTGTTTTCTCTTTCTCTCCTGATATATTTCAATGAAAAATAAAAACTGAGAGGAAAGCTTCCAGTTAAGCTTACTGACCAGATTTTTAACGTGCAGTAGCCTGCAGGAAGAAATATTTGGGAGGTACTGAAGAGTTGTTGTCATCAGGAAGAATTTAAAGCATAAGGAAAAATTTCTAGGACTATGCAGTTATAACCAGAAAAGCAATAAATATTCCATAGCTCTTGCTTTTTAGTTGTTTCTTTGAGGCGCTAAAAAAGAAAAAGCCATGGAAATATTGTCAGAAGTTTAGTCACTTTTAATTAAAAGTTAGTTGATGTTCGGCTCTTAATTGCAGCTCAGAATGCTTTTTAAAAACTGGAAAACTGGCAGAGATGTGAATTTGGATATTAACCTTCTTTTCTGGAGCAGCCCTGTTAAATGTTCTTAAGTTGTTGGAAAAGTGGTGGTCAAGGTTGTTTTCTAGTACATGGGAAGAGAGAAGTGGTTAGTATCTGTCTCATTTTGGAAAATGGGTTTGTTTTTTATAATCTTTGAGATTAAGATTTTTCTTCAGGTCTCTGAATTGTGATTAATTTATTTGAAAATAATACTGAAGGGCAAGACAGTTCTGGAATCTTGATGTTTTAACTTTTTTTTCCATCTTTTTTTAGTTATTTAATTTCTCCTACTTCTTTACTTTGTCCCTCTTCTTATATTCTTCGTATTCCTGTGGTTATATTCCTGCTTTTGCTGTACACTATATAGGAGAGATACTTTGAGAGGTTTTAATTGGTGGTAATAATTGTTCACTTGTCACATGTTCCGCATCTTTATGAGCCTATCTTGTTCTTGATGTTTGGCAGGCATTTTGCAAAGAACTCAGTGTTGTTAGTGAGACTTTTTATATGTTTGTAAATACTAAGTGCTAGTATCAAAAAGGAAAGACCTATGTGGCAAATTAATAAAAATGTAAAATTCTTGTATACAGATAAAGTTTTACTTTTTAGTAACTTTTGGAGCGAGGCATTATCATACTTGCAGGAGAGAATTGCCAGAAACGTGTAAATGCTTTGTTTTAAGGCTTTCTACAAGCCTAGTCATGTTTATGGATTCCTGAGTTCATGTGAGTATTGCTAAATAGTTACATCTGTCACACAGAGAACTGTTTCTGTTCTGGAACTTCAGTTCTGGGAAAATAGTTTTAACAGAAGTAAAGATAATTTTGCTGTATACACCAGCTTATCTTTAAAATACATGGTTCTGTTAATACTTTTTTTTTTCTTTACAGAGTGAACTGGATATACCTTTTAGAATAAAAGTTGGTCAGATAGGTAAGTGTTTGTTTCAGTGTAAGTCTTGAAATGGAAATGTTAGTACAAGCCTTAAGATCAGTCCTGCCTCTGAAATTCTTTTATCAAGCTTTCTTTAGAGATCTCTGTAATCATACTTGCTGTTGAAACTAGTATAGAAGTCTAATATGACTGCCCTGGATGAATCATAAAATGTTATCTGGAAAGCCCTGTTTGTGTAAATTTACAGGCTGGTATGAAAAACACGTCTGAGAGGTTCTTCCGAGATACATGGGTGATCAAGGGAGCTGTTTGCTATAGGCAGAATGTGTGTGGCTCTTTAAAGGACAGATTAGGAATATGAAGAATTTAAGTAAGATTCCTGAAACTGGCAAACATGACAAGGGTTTAGGAATTCTTAGATATATGCTTTTTTAAAAATTCCTTTCCCTGCTAGTCAGCATTGCTTTTTTGTATGAAACATCTGTTGGAGACGAATGTGTGTTGTATTTCTTCTTCTACTTCCCTGGGAACATCATGTTTATCCCAGTGAATTGAACTCCAGTCATTATCTCAGGTTTTGATCTGATTTCTTGCTTAAGTCTATGGCTTATATTTTCTCTGAATGCATTTTATCACTTCAAGTGCTTTATAAAATGTTTAGGCCCGTATGATTTCTCCTTACTTTCTAAGGTGTTTAGGACATGTAGATATAGGTCTAATGCTCTTTGGTGCCTGAGGTGGTGGTTGGGCTAAGCACAGTGTCGATTTTTGTTTTGATGTAACTGTATCTGCTTCATTTAGATAAACTTACTCTGAAGATTCCTTGGAAGAATCTCTATGGTGAGGCAGTTGTTGCAACTCTAGAAGGCTTGTATCTTCTAATAGTTCCTGGAGCAAGTACGTAAACTCTTCAACAACACAATTAAATAATGGAAGAGAAAAATATCTACGGGTACCATGTAATTGAGTATATAATAGCAAGTAGTTCACGTAAGCTCTCATTTTTACCTTCTGTTCCTTCAAGGAAATTTCTAGACAAATGCTGGCAAGTTAGTGGAAGAAGAGTGGGAGAAAACAGAACCTGTTGCTTTTAGGGAAATCCTTGGTTGTATCTATTCCAAGTTCAGCTCAACAGCCAAGTTTCCTCTGCAGTGTGCTTATCCTGAATCCACTTTTCTGGCATGGTTTAGATCTTTTGGCTGTTGTGTGATACAGTTTGTCTGCTTCTAACTGACAGAAATCAAAAGTAGTAATTCCATTAGAACTGTTTTTAGGGAGAGGGAAGAGGATCAAAGAACTTGATTAGTTTTCTTGGAAGTCAGAACCTCTGGTATACTAAGAAAACTTGCAAGTTTCTAGAGCGTCAAATATATGTGTAGTAGAACTTATAAACCTGCATTATATTGCACAGACCACACTTAAGGGTCTGAATTTCTGTGGAAGGGCTCTCCTATGAAGTAATGCTTCAATGTTGGTATGATCCTTTTGTGCCTTACTGTGTAAAAATAGCAATTTCAGAGGCTGGATGCAGCTTTCAGCAATTAAATCTAGAATAGCCTTTATCTCAAACAAGGTGCTTTGCAACATAATGTTCAGTGTGGTGTGCATTGCTTGATTATGCATTTCTATAACCTGAAATTTAGGATTAAATTTATCCCAACTTGGCTTGCAGGCATTAAATATGATGCAGAGAAGGAAGAAAAATACTTGCAGGATAATAAACAAAAGGAACTGGCAAGAATTGAGGAAGCCTTGCAGAAAGCGGCAGAAAAAGGTGCTGAGTTAATAATACAAATCTCCATTGGAATTTGAAGACTTGGGCTGTGCTATGAAAGGAAAGTCCAGTTTTGTGATTGACTTAATAAATTTTGGGTTTTTTTTCAAGTGTCTAGGTAATCTTACTGCAGTGCTTTGAAAAGTGTTTTTCCTCTAAAGCTTGAAAGAAATGTTACTTGTTTTGTTTACCGTTCATTTGTCCAGTCAGCTTCCATTGGAAATGGGAATTTGATAATCTGGTATGTCTTCCCTCACCCCCCGCCCTTAAAGCTCTAGGGGAACAGGACCAAAGACAGAAACTGCATTGCATGAGGCTACTGTTGTTATCTTGCTGTAGAGCTTCAGTAATGGATGTTTAATAATATGTTTTAGAGTTGTTCTTTGCTTAAATGGAACTTTAAGGAGAGTGGTAAGATTTGTAAATTTTTACTTCAACAATAATGCTTTGGTTCCACTTTCTGCTGTCCTTTTATGGTGTACTGTGTTTTGACTGGTTTGAGAAATGAGACTGTCTTGAGCAGGAAATAGTTCATGACACAAGAAAACAATTGAATATGAACATAGGACACTTTACTTAAACTTTTGATGTAGGTTAATAAAAAAATTTTAAACTTTCAATTATAGGTTAAAATAATTGATAATTTCAGTGCAGTTAACCTCATTTGTGGGTTTTGGTGTTTTTATTTGGCTGGGTTTTTATGGCAACAAATATCTTTAATGAAATTATGGTATAAAATAGGCTTGTTTGGACAGAAATCAAGCTCAGAACCAATGACAGGTAACTACATATGGTAGAGGAAAAAGTTATTACTGGAATTTTTGTCTGAAGTGAGACCTGTTTGTTGGGTGGTATAATGGTTCTTAAGATGCATCTCTAGGATACCTGTAATGCTGCAAGTCATTTGCCTTGGAAAAGTTACTGAAAATGAGATGATGCTTAGAACGCTTGGAAAAAGGTAGTTTGATTGTAATCTCTTTGCTTATTTAATTTTCCAGTTATAGGACTCACTACTGCCGTATTTGTGATTTGCAAGTTTGAGATGTACATTTGCACTTTCCTTCAAACAGTAATCTGGCAATCTGTTTACAGTGAAGAAAGGAGCCTTGTTTTATTTCTTGTCTTAGCTCTCATACATTTTCTGGCATATTAAAGACAACTTCAGTGAATGAATTTTGCACCCACTCCTTAATACTGGGGCAAAGTAATGTTCATAGAGGTTTAACCTTGGTTATGCAGGACTTGGATACTCTAAATCAGCAGTGTTTCAGCCATTATTCTTCGCACTAGTTGCAATGGGATGAAGGGATAATACAACAAGAGTTAAACCTAATGGGCACTGCTTGAGGAATTTCAATTCTGGAACTTTATATAATTAAGAGTGAGTCTGTGCACCTGTGAGAATCATATTTTTTTTTTGAATGAAACTTACTACATCCAGCACTTGTAAGGCTTTGGGGGAAAAAAAAATCGTGTAAAAATGATACTTCAGTAGCTCAACTCCTTTTATAAAGAACTTGAATTAGATTTAGTCATGTTTTGCAGTTTTAAACTTTCAGCCCCATGAAGGAAAAGTTAGAGGTACATTCAAATTGGATTATTTTAAACTGTAGTTATCCTCTCAGTCATACTGCAGCATGATCCTTATGGGTCCCTTCCAACTTGAGATATTCTGTGATCATATCTCAGGGGTAGCTATTGGTGTTTCTGGTGTTGTACTAGAATATTGTACTCAGGAGGACTTGTGTAGTTCTTGCATGAGCAGATCCCTTACTTTTGCTAGATACAGAAGTCTTAGGGCCCAAGTTGCTCTACTGCACCATAAAGTTCTACATAAAGTGCATACAATAGCTGATGAAGATCTGGCAAATATATTGAATAGAAAGTTATCAGGGTCCATGAATTCTCAGCTGCATTTGTTTTTCTGATTAGTACTCTCCTTAATATATTTAGAATCTTGATTCAGTACTTGCATTTATTTAAGAGTCTCTTAGCATAAACAGTCCTGGGGATATTTTCTTTAGACATGTTATTCAAATACTGAGCAAAATGGTCATGTCACTGTGCGGTTAGTGTAGTGTGGGGAAGTGATAACAAACTCTGCTGACACAACAAGTTGACAAAACATTATTTTCTGTTTTCTAAGCTATTAAAATCTGTCAGTATCAAAACTCATATAGGAAGACCAAATCTTGCAATTCTTGTCTTTTGCTGGTTATAAGTAAAATGAAAATTGCATAATTTGCTTATGTAGATAATCTTTGAAACTAGATATTCTGAAGTGACTCTGGCTGTCAGATACTGTAAAAGAAATACTAATGTGTCATATAAGTTTTATAAACTTAACATTAAATCAGGAGCCGATTTCCTTCTTTTAAACAAAATGAATTTTTTTGGTTATTTGCTGCCATGTGGACCAAGGCACTCATTCACAAGATACCTTGTATGGGTTGGAGAGTCTGATTTACAAAGACATCAAGCCTGGTGGGTATGCATGGTTACATTTTGCACGTGCATGATGGGTATGCAGCTTAGATTTTTTGACACCCCCCCACCCTCCAAAGCAGCCAAATGTAGAAATGAGAAAACAATACTTGTTTGGTAAGCATCCACCTATTGGTGGTTCTAGAAGTAAGACTTTAATAACTGTGGATTTAAGTGGAAACTTGCAATGACTAGTCCTGTCTTAATTGAGTGGCTGTTCAAGAAGACTAAGAGACCATTTAGAGAGATTTTCATCAGCTATGTTGAGCTCAAGAATGTTGTAAAATGCTGGCAACGTTCTACTGTAGTTTTAAAACACTGTCTTTAGGTGTTTTGAGAATAGAAGGTAATTACCCTTACTTAAAGTGTCAGGGCTTAAGATACTGGAAGTTCAGCCTGTCTTGAAACTGTGGACATGCAAGATGAGCCATAGCAGATCGAAGGCATTTAGCATGCTTTTCCCTGGTTCTGTTTATCTGGATTGCTCTCAAGTTAGGCAAGGAAACAGTTTCCATTGAAATTCAGAGGAACTGTTATTACGTTGTACCTGCTGTATTTTTATCTTCTTGAAGCAGATTTTCGGAAATTTATTCTTATGCAAAATTACTTAGTGGGTTTTTATCTGTGTGCAGCTTTAGAATGAGCTTAAAATCATACGTTTAGTTTCTCTATAGTAATGGATGCGGGTAATTGAGAAAATCATGTTGCCTTAATTGTGTCACACATGGGAGTGAAAGCCTGAGAACTACAAATTCGATAGTAAGTGAAGGAAGCTGTCTTTTTTAGAGTATCATTTATAGAGGATTACTTGTACTGTTAAAAGGAACTGTCAAAAAGAAAATGTTGTTTCTATTTGGCATAATTTTTCCTTTCTGCTATTTGTAAGGTGATCACCTTACCTGCAAGACAGGTTGAAATCTTGGCAGGTGCTTTTTCCTCCTTTGTTTGAACAGGCATGCAAATTACATAACTCTGGGGGAAAACTTATTTTTAAATACACTATTGCACTTGCTTCCTTCTTGCTTTAGTGACATACACCCTTCTCATGCTGCAACTTCATAAAGTTAAGCACAGGCAGCCTGATTGCTCAGTTCTTTTCCCCTATATGGCCAGAGAAGGGAAACAAACAATGCAACTCACCAAACTGGTTTTCTGTAGACATGTAGAAAAATGTGAGCATTAATTTAATTCATGAAATGGTTGTGATTGTGTGGGTCATAATGTGTGTGTAAATAATAGAATCTAATTTCATATAAAGCTTTTAAAGAATCATAATTTTGTATGCTTTTTTTGCAGTTACTGGTATCATTCTTTCAGATGGCTTTCATACTGTACTGTTGATTAGCATGAGAATCATATTGAAAAGTGCTCTTTGGGTTTCCATGTACATCTCAAATATAACTTGGAAGTTATGCCCTTGTATGGTAAAAGCCTCTTCTGGATTTAAACTTCCATATTTTTTTATTTTTTATTTTCCCCCACATGTTCAGTTATGACAATTATGCCTTTGCCTGAGGTCATTAAATAAAAACCATCCACTTGGGTTACGGAAAAGCTTATTCACCAGACTTTCCGATAAGCACACATGGCTCTGTTTCTAGCTCTCTTTTGTACAAAAGTGATCTGGAATTGTATTATGCAATGCACTCATGAAGAAGTCTGGGTATATATTTGCTGAGAAGCCTGGTGATCATTAGTAATTCCTTAAACTCTTGAGATGTTATATAAGGAATGTGTGAAAGTTGAATTAAATGCCTTGACCTTACAATTGGCAGGACCACTGATCCAGTAGAAATTTGTATACCTTTTACTGGCTGCTTAGTTCACTTGGGCTTTGAACTTCAGTGACTTAAAAAGGAGAGAAAAAACAAAACCAAGGCTTCACTTGCTTCCTTGAAAGTGAATTTAGGTATACATAAGTAATGAAAATAAGGCTCTGTGCTATGAGAAGTAGCTGACTGCTTCCTTAACAGATATGAAATTCTTTAAAAGCTTTTAATGAGACCTTACTCAGGCATTCTGCTTTAAGACAAGCTAAACTTTCTTCTGTCTTTTCTTACGTTTTCTTACACTTCTGCTTTACTAACTTGAATTTTATACTTTTCCCAAAAAATTGCTTGCACTGAAAAAGGACGTAAGCGTAAAAAGTATAAAAAGCGTTTTAAGAGACCCTTTAAAGGTCATGATCACTCAAAAGGTGGGTAAAGGTTATGGCTTTTAACTGTTTTAAGATTTTTTTTTCTTTATTTTCTGTTTTGATTAGTTTTTCTTAATTTTGGATATACATCCACTGATGCCTTTTTTTTCCCCCTCCTGTTTGAAAGAGAGGACATAGATTGGAGAGAGCTCTTTTTTGCTGTTTATCTGTTCTCTGGACCCAGTGAGACTGAAGAGAGTCCTTGTTTCTCTCTACCTGGATAGCTGTGACTGTTTCTTCAACTTGAGCTATCTCTAGTATTTCCAACAAAAATGTACACATTTGGTAGGCTGATTAGTGGCACTACACTGTGACTGTTGGAAAAACTGCATGTGGAAGATATACCTGTTTGTCTAATTTTTGTAATATTCCAGTAACAGCTATGTAAATCTGATGCTATGCTGATGATATAGCAGTAAACAGTCTTTTTCAGTACCTTTTAGCTTCTATTCTAAATAGCTAGCATAGTGTTATGACTGATATTTTGGCAAAAATGAAATCGATGTTTTTTCCCAGGAGGATAAATCATTGTTTGTAAGTACCAAGCCATGCAGGTCTTCAGTATTAGCATGTGACTAAGAATGGGTTGCCATATCCCATGGGGTTGTATTGTTAAATATTTGATCTTGGAGGAAGCTGCAGCATAGGCTTGTAATTGGAGTCAAAACTTTGTGGGGACCCTAGATAAGCTTTGTGAGGTATCAAAATTTTATTGCTGCTGGTAGCTGCATCTGGCTGGAAAAATGTTAATGGGTTGCCAGCTTGCACTTGAAGGTCATGAAGCTTCAATAAGCACTTCTGCCTTTTTTTTTTTTTCCCCTTTATCAGTATTGTATTGGTTTCTGTTAATAGGGAGTGGGAGTTGTGAAGAAATCATTAATAGGAGGAAATCAGTTGCATGTAAAAGTGGTATAATGTTTTTGTTTCTTCTGAGTTCCTGCTTAATTTTTTACTTGAAATGCTCTCTTGACTAAAATAGTGTTATAGCATGTTCAATAGCAAAGTCTTTTCATTTTTAGAGGAATCTCCTGAACCTCTCTCAGAGCTTAGGAAGAAAAAAAAAAAAATCCTAATTTTTGTAGCAAGATAAACCAAGTTATACATCTGTGGTGTTCAGCATGCATTGCATATTAAAAAAGTTACAAACAGTAAAAGTAAGCCGAGAAGTCAAACTTGGAGTGCAACCCTAAACTTAATCAAAACCTGTAGTCCTTCTTTCTCTCTGCTTGGATAACCATGACTGTTTCTTCAACTTGAGCCATCTGTAACATTTCCAACAAAAATGTACAAGTTGGGTAGGCTGATTAGTGGCATCCGCTGGGATAGCCACTTTGTAAGGTAGATACTGAAAAAGACAAGGAAGCCTGTAAAGATAGCTAGAGAACAAACAGCTCATCTATCCATATTTTAGGTTAAATGTTAAGGTGCTCAGACTTGAGAGAAATTTTTTAGAGTTATGTCATTAAATAATGAGGGATTGTAAATATTGCCCCCCACCTTGGCATGCATACGTTTGTCTTGGGTGGAATGCTGAAATTCTGTGGGTATGCAACTTCCACTACCCTATCTTGTTCAGCGTAAGTTGAGTATCAGTACTTTGCATGGCAAAGTCTGATATGGACCTAGCTTAAATGGTCACAGTATAAGTCCAGTATGGAAGAAATGGAATATTTGAGAGTAACTGTTCGTTTTCACTTGTGATATGCCAGCTTTTTAACTTTTTCAGGCAGTGTTGTATGAAAGACACTAATAGACTGGTATCTTGTTGTGCAAGTATCATCTTCACCTGGTTATTCAAGGGTATTTTGTGCTAAATTACACTGACTTACCTATTTGCTTTGAAAACCCTAGTTAATTGCTGAGGGATACTTATGAGAGTACTTTTTACCTTGGAAGGAGTGGGGAGAAGTATGTTAAACAAGAACTTGCTGTAGGCTAAACTGTTCTGGCTGAAACTTAGAAATTTTCTTCTGGTTGTGTTGTACACACACAGCTAACATCACGTCTTCAGAATATGGATGTACAGAAAAGGAAAAATGTGCAAATATGTAATCTAAATAAGCAAAACCTTAAATGTTAGGTATTCGTATTAGAATAAACATTAAATTTACATTAGTATAGTTGTTGGTGTGGTTAAACTCAAAATGCAACTACAACACTGAATACTTTTTTTTTAAATTACTGTTTTAGACAAACCAAAGGAGGAGAAGAAAGATACTTTCTTAGAAAAGCTTGCAACTCAAGTTATAAAAAATGTGCAAGTCAAAATCACAGGCATTCATGTTAAATACGAAGATGATGTAAGTAACTGGAGCATTTTCTTTTCATTTTAAATTGGACTCCAGAGCAGTCCTGATTGCCTAGTCCATAGGCAATCTGTTATCTGCCACCTTGAAAAAGTGGCTGTGGTTTCTTCTGCACCTCTTCAAATCAAGTAGCCCAGATATGACTGAAAGCCAGAAATATTTTCAATATGTGAAATCGATATTCTCTCTTTTGCCTTGTCCAGTGGTGCCTCGCTCACTAAATGTGCATGGTGGCTGTTCATCATATGTTAGTGTGTGCAGCTGATGTACAGAATTTTTCAGTGTCCTGGGTGAAGTCCAGAATGGCAGAAACTGGTGGGGTTACAGATGAGTTGGAAGGCAAATAATTGAGAACACTTAATTGGTAAATGAGAAGGATTATATGAACAAAAGTGGTATTATTCCAGCCTGCTCCCATTTTTCCTTTAGGAAAATGATAAAGCAGTTTGTGATGAGATAATTGAATGTAAAAGAAAAGCATTGCATATAGAGTATTTCTCAAACCTATTTTGGGACTGTTTTCAGAGACACTAAATTTAAAAAGGTGGGAGGAATGGAAGTCATAAAATGATAGAACTGATTGAGGTGTGGTACTTTGTAGTTCTTAGTTCTTTCCTGTATGAAGATTTTAGAAGTCAAAAGGAAATTTTCAGCTTGAATTGAAGTCTTAAGTCTTTACATTACAGCCATACTAGTCTTGGCCCAACTTAGGGAAGGGTTGCAAGAATGCTTCAGCTAGAATAATTAACCAAAGGAAGATCCTCAAAACAGCTCAGGATTTCAATCAACTTTAAATGATACATCTCTGTCTGCAGCAAGAGAAATAAATAGCTGTTATTTTTCTGGTTTTGCAGATCACAGATCCACAGTGTCCGATTTCTTTGGGAATGACATTGGGCGAGCTTAGTTTACTGGTAATGTATGTGTGTGCATGCGAGTTGTTCTGTTTTCAATTTACTCATCTTTGGAGTAGCGGAAAGGAAAAGTAACGAATTAAGACAGTATAATGAAAGTATGCATACAGCTGGAAGCGCAGACAATCTTATTTGTGCAAATAGTGCTTAAAGTTTGTGCAAGTAGAAGGGAAAATTATTGAGGAACATCACACTCTCTGATACTAGTGATTTGTTCTTAGGATCCAAATGATCTTTAAAATGGAATATATTTACTTTCAAAAGGCAGGTTATTTCCAGGCTTAATAAATAAACTAGGGCAAACATTACATCATGATGACAAAGAATTTGGTATTTTGCCAGGCCTTTTAAGTAATGGTGGGGGGAAAGTTTCAGCTAACTCTTGTTTTCCCTTAGATGTTAAGGATTTTATGGGTAGGAGAAGGAGTTGAAAATCAAAATAAACTGACAAATTTTATGTTAGATTTTGACTTGTGTGTATGCAGTCTAGAGGAGCTAGCTTCAGTAATCAGGTAGCACCAAAATTATGCATTCTATGCTTGAAAGCATAGGATAGAACTGCTAATCTGTCAAGATGCAAAGAATGACTTGTATCACTTTTGAACTTGTAGACAACAAATGAGAATTGGACACCTTCTATTCTGAATGAAGCTGCAAAAATAATATACAAGGTAATGTGTAGTTTGTTTGGTTTGTGGTTTGGGTTTTTTCCCCTACACAAGAGAGCAACTGATCATGGAGAGAAATAATCGGGGGGGTTCTCAATAAAAATTGGATAGTTTGCTTTGCAAATTCTCCTATTTTTCATAATTTTGCTGTGTGTTTAAACAGAATTAGAGCACAAATAACTGGCTTTATGTAAGGCATAACTTTCAACTTCATGGTTTAAATTTCTCTTAAATACAAACACTGATCCCCTCATTAAATGCATTATACAGCAAATCTGCATGGTAACTGATTTCAAATAGGTTGTTAAATAGCCATTTCCTCCTCTAGTTTGTTTGCCTAATGTAATTGGGATTCTGGTAACTAAGCAGTTTCTCTGTTCTCCCTGCCCCACAACCCTATGCTGAAAGGAGTACACAAAGATCTTAGAAATTATAGGAATGATATAAGAAGGGTTTAATAGCCCTAGCTTCTTTGTTAGGCCAAATACTGGTTTTGTGTACACTTGCCCTGCAATCCAGAGTCATATTTAACAGATGTGCATGAACTTGCATGAAGAACTTGCTTTTTAGCAATTCAATTTTCACTTCAAAAATATTATTATAAGATTAAATACATCTGAATGCTAATGGTGGATTTGCTTTCATTTGTTTTGTGTTTTCACAAGTGGAAAGCTAAGTTCATAGAAGAGGTTGAATACTGAGTATGGAATCCATTGAATGTTTTCTTTCCTGTGCAGCTTTTGTGCCTGGACAGCCTCAGTGCTTATTGGAACATACACAGCAAAATGTATTATCATGGCTCCCGTGAACAAATACTGGTAATGTAGAAGAAAATGCATTAAGCGCTACTATGTTCTATAGCTGTTCAAAACTACACCATACTAATTTCCGCTCTGCTTCTCACGCTTATGGTCAACTGTATTCTGATACCACGGTCCTATGTTAATCCATTGCACTATTGATAGCTAATAATTTGTTGTGACCTTCATATGTTATTAACCCCTGTAGGTTTTAGGAGCTGTGTCTGTAAAGTCATGTTCTGTTGGCATATTCATTTCTACTTTGTGCTGTTTACCCAGTGCTGTTTACTAAATATCTGGACTATATGAGCTATTACGTAGCTACTGTAATGAAAAAGGCAAAGTTGAGATAGTAAATGAGCATAGAATTAATAAAAATTCAGAATATTAGATCTTTATCAGAACAGGAACTTGTGTCACATGTTATTCAGATTACTTAAGATGCATGGCTGAAATGAACCGATAGAGTGAAGCCAGATAGAAGAACAAGATGTTAAAACAAAAAGGTTTTTTTTGCTTTTTAATAAACTGAAGCTTAGGTAGGTAGGTATCCATTGTCAGACATAAATAAAAAATATCTGAAAATAGTAATTACAGGGTAAGAATAAAATCAAATTTGCAGGGACACACACAGAGGACAGGACACGCTTCTTGGAGGCTATATCTAGCTTTTTCTGATTGATTCACGTTTTTGAGTTGCTGTTATCTAGGTGAGTAGTGGAATACTGCAACTTGTAATATTGTAAGTGTGTGAAGTACTTGTTTTGCTTTCATTACATTACTGTGTTACCCTCTAAGTTTTATGTTCCCAGAAGAGGAACTAAGAACTTTGACAGTATGAATAGGGTAGTTATATAGACGTAAATCATGGCTACGTGCACACATCCTCTTTCTGTATGATAGCTCAGGACTTCAGAGTTGCAAAAGCACCATTACTGTTAAGAAGTTTATTTCAGATGTCCACTTCATTCATGTGGTTAAAAGAGCTCATTTTTAGGTTATAAGAAACAGTTAGTTATTCTAGTGAGCTTTTGGGTAGTTCATTACTGAAATCTTAAGTTCTGAAAGTAAATTTTAGAATGGATTGTGAAAACAGTCCTTACCAAGGAGATTTGAACTTACTGTTTACTAAGCTGCAAGTGAAGATGCTGGTGTGATTTTGTTGAACTTTTTATGTATCAGGAAGTACCACTTTCTGTTCCATCATCAAGCAAGTTTTTAACAGGTCCTTTCTGAAAGAATTGGGACTTTTGCTCTCTGTGACTGTAAAATGGAGTTGCCTGTTTCCAAAGCCTGGTGCATGTCCTGCATGTAAACTTTTCTTTGAGTGCTGAGACAGAGCAATTCCAGTGTAGCAAATAGTGTCCAGTATTCTGACCACCTATTAACTTGAAGTATCTCACCACTTGCAGTTTTTCCAGTTCTTGAAATCGTTAGTAAATTTGGTGCTGCATACTAGTATTACTTTGCATACTGGCATCATCTCCGTTATTTGGATTTTTTTGCATCTTTTGACTGATGACTTCTTTTAGTTTAAATCTGTCAATTGTGATTAGTTGTCTTTGTGTCCTTGTGTCTAAAAGGGGAAGAGAGGGAGAGCAGGAATAAGCTCAGAACACATCTGAGAAGATTTGAAGAAGCACAGGGGAAGAATGGAATTCATCATGGGCATAAAATTACTTGTGTAAACCTTCTCTCCCACTTGTTAAGTCCTCTCTACTTCAGAATCTTAAAACCAATACAGGAACTGAACAAATAGGAAATAACATGTCTTGTTTAGTAACATTATCTGTATTAAATACCTGAATATATTTTGTATGCAGTTTTTAGTGTAGCTTGTTTCCTAGAAAGCTAGATCTTCCAACCAGACAGGCTGTTTTGGTCTTAATTTTAAGCAGCATTATGAGGAAGTCAGATTGATGGTAGTAGCTAATTGGTCTATGTTGTAGTAAGAATAAGCTGTGTAATCTGTAGCAATCTGTTACTTTTGTACAACAGTCTTCATATTTAAATAACATGAGTATATGGCTGGTTGTGAGATTAGCTGTTTTATACTTAATCTTATTGAAATTTAGCTTTTATTAATATAGATCAGCAGACCGGAAAGAGGTCAAAATACATATATTTTTAATGAGAAAGTGTACCTTGTATAAAATACAAGCCAGCTTTAAAATGAGGAACTGGGAAAAGGATTAGGTTGAAGAAATTTGTAGCAACAAAATATTTTCCTTGTAAAAACAACTCTTCATAATGATAGTCTTTATAAATTACAGTGGGAACAAGCACTTCATCTGCCTTCATGCAGTAGCTAATATGTACATTTTCCTAAAAGCAGACCTCCTGCTTTAACTGTGCCGTTGCAATTCTGAAACTGGATAAAATGTTTGGGCACAAATACAGCATTCTCAATAAATTGCTGAAGAATTACAGCATAAGACAGACCTCATTTTTTAATTTAAACTCAGTTCTAGCGTGATTTTTTAGGCCTCTTGGGCTGTTCTGTTATTTTCCTGACTTCTGTCTGTCTGTAATTCCTCTCATACCTGCAGAATACCAGAAGGCTCACATGGCTCCTTATGTGCTAAAAATGAGAAAGGGTACAATGTGAATAGATATTCCTGGTACCTTCAAGGAGTTTAAAAACAAATGCTTGATCTACTATGCTACGTGTTTGAATGTACACGAGCTACATGCTTCTAAATTAACACATGTTAGTTGTTAGTGCAAGATTTAAACAGAAGTTGAATAAAAACTGTACAAACCTTCCACTTCATATGAGAAACTTAGAGTTCTTTTTAATCTGGCATATTTAAACCCTTCACTCTTAAGTGCTTGTGCTACATGAGCTTTTCCACTTAGGGAAAGGAGGCCCTTGCAAAATACATGTGAACGTAAGTTGGTCTACTCAAAGCTTAGAGAACTGTAAGCAAGTAATACTCTTCAGCAATTATTAGACAGTTTCATATTCCTTTACAGGATCAGCTGAAAAGAGGAATTCCTTGTAGCGCTAACCAACCTCAAGACTACCAGTATAGTAAGTAAGCTAGCAATGAGTGAATATAAACTGTTCTGAGCATGTTAGTATACAACAGCCTGACCTGATCGTGAAGGCACGCCTATACTAATTTTATTTTACAAAAGCCTGAAGATAACCGAACGTATGAGAGCTTGTATGCTGTTTGACTACTGCTGGGGTATCTTAATTTTTGTTAAGAATTGCATCCTCATTCTGTGCATCTTGAGCATACATATTACCAGCACAAAGTGGATGATATATCAGAAGGTGGAAATAAGTATTTGTAAGATGGCTTCCCATATTTTATTTGTAAACATAAAGTTGATCTCAATTTTTTTTATCTTTCAGTTTTTAGACCAGTATCAGCCTCTGCAAGACTGTATATCAACCCCTATGCAGAAGTAGAACTCAAAACTCCCAAGCTTGAGTGTAATGTAGAAGTACAGAGAATTGCCATTGAATTCACTAAACCCCAAGTAAGCTGGCTTGGTATCTATTATCACCCATTTCAGAGTTTGTGATGAACTGTAGGATGTTTTTGTTGGAAGACATTCTTCTTTGGGAATTTTCTGCTTATATGCTAGAAGACTGTCTAAACTATTTAGCAGTGACTGTGGGAATAGTTATTTTCCCTTTGTGTAACAGTCACTTCCTGGTGCTAGATCCTGACATTCTGACCTTGTTATCTGTGGACCCTCTGGATCTGATCTGTATTCAACCCTTCCAATAGCATTCCTTTCACATAGAGAATGGAATCATTCTTACGAGTAGTCCTAAGTTTCTAAAACTTTAAGTCAACGCTATAACTGTAGAGATGCCAAGATACAGGCAAGGGTGGGAATGAATGGAGTGTACTGGCTTTGGCGACAAAGTCTGCAGAAATACCAGGGAACTCATTTAGCTCCCCAGCAACGTTGGTGGTTTCATTTATTCAGTAATTTACAGTAAGCTTGCTAGATAGCTTTTTAGCTGTTATTGATGTCAGAGTGAAATACGAGTTCAGAACAGTACTGATAAGGTTAACTAATGCAAAGGCAGTTCTAAAATTGGGGAACCTGTGTATTCACAAATGAAGAGAATATGATTGGTTTGAGAACCTGAGACTGTGCTGAGCAAGCCAACAGAAATACAAATTGGTTTTGTTTTTTATGGAAACCAGAGGTTCATATGGTGGTGTCCTTAGAGAGCAACGGGTATAGTTGGTCTACTTTTACATACTGATGAAAATGCATAGGCTTAAATTTACTTATAGTTTGGGGAATACTGAAGACCATGATATGCATGTGCTTCAAGCACTACATGCAACAAAATCTGAACCTCTGCTAAGAAACTTGGTTTTCTGTGTTTAGTACCTCAGCATGATAGACCTTCTGGAGTCCATAGACTACATGGTTCGCAATGCACCATACAGAAGATTTAGGCCAAATGTATCTCTCCATAAAAATGCCAGACAATGGTAAGCTGCATACGTTCGTGCATTCTTTGGGAGATGCTAGAGTCCTCTCCAGGCTCTATGTTCTCCTTTGGGGTTAAATGCAGTTTTAAAACTAGATCACATAGATCATTATGTGTTTCACAGAACTTTGCTTAGCCAAGTAGAAAAGGCTTGCAGAAGAGAACGCATGAAAGAACCACGTGATGAAAATCTGACTTGCAAAGCTAACCCTAGTCCCCAAAATCTCTGAACAAAATGCCGATGTACCCTCCAGAGGCTAGAATATAGTTTTAGAAAGATTAAAGAAAAAAAATATGCAAAGGGAAACATGTATGTCAACTGTAATTTTTAAAGGTTTGAGTTGATAGACATTTTTGTGGATTTTTTTTTCTAAGCACTAACTGATGCTGATAATCAAAGTGCTTCAGTGTACTTAGTGCTGTTACAGCCCAAATTTGCAAAGAGGATGCAGATTTATAGCTCTTAAGGCATTAAATATAAGCCCTCAGTCCACTTTTCAAAAGTTTTTATAAAATTTTTAATGATTTCAACATCAAAGTAACTCAAATGACAAGTGGTAAATGAAGTGTTTGCAGATTAATAAACTACCTCTGCAACTTTTAAGTTGTAATACACAGACAAAATAGGAGGTTGCTTACAGCTGTGGAATTATTGTAGGTGGAAATATGCAGGTAACAGTGTTCTTGAAGTTCACATCAGAAGACATACTCAAATGTGGTCATGGAGTAACATAAAACAACATAGGCAGCTTCTGAAGACTTACAAAAATATATACAAGAACAAGCTGACACAGAGTAAACTGTCAGAAGAAACACAGAGGCAAATTCAGGTATGTGTTTTTTCTCTTTGGAGAAAGTATGTTTTGGTCTCTTTAGTAAATAATTCTTTAAATACACATGACAGTGATCAAGGTTGGTGATTTTACAAGAGTGCAAGAGTTCTGTGGAAATACCATTTTAATCTGAAGTGTAAACTTTAGTGGAAAGAAAGAAAATACTAGTAAAGTGCCATTTAAATAAACCCTTTTTGGCTGCAGATTAATGAACTTGGATGCATGTAATCAAGTGCAAGATTAATCTATTTTAAAAAAAAATTAGACTGCCTAACATCAGGTTTTATCTTCTAGTGAACTTTGTGGGGGGTGGTATACCCTTAAAAGAAAGGAGCAGGTGTAGAAAGTAATTAGAGTGTAAGTTCGAAGGAGTGGGTAGAGAATTTGTAGTGGTGAGCCTTTCTTAAATGTGTTTGCGGCAAATGATTTCATCGTACGTTTTTACAGAACCTTGAAAGAAAGCTTGATGTCTTCAATATAATCTTAGCAAGACAACAAGCACAAGTTGAGGTAAGAAATAATTTTTGTTCAATAATATTGTAACACTTCAAATAAGATGGTTTTGTCATGATAGTATCTTCAAAAAAAAATTGTGCTGGTGAGTGTGATAGGGTAGGGAGGTGGGAAGGCAAGTTTCCTATTCTCCAGGACAAGAGTAAATCAATTTCTGAACTGGAAACCAGTTCCAAAAACCTACCAGTGTGTGTGCACGGTGTTAACTGCTACCCACTTTGTACCATTCAGGCAATTGTAGAAGGGTGATGATTTAATGTTTCTTTTCTCCCTTTGGCTTCTGTTATTTCCAGACTGGTTCTGTAGCTGTTCAAGATCAAACATGTACAGCTGTTCCCATCCTATCTACACCTTTAGATACTCTTTTTAGGGGACAGCCAATCTAATTAAAAGACAGCTCTGAGAGAATTGTTAAAAGGTAGATGAAGTTTCTAGTTGCATTTTATTTTGGAAATAATTTGTGACACTTAACAAGGAGTTGCATGTTATAACATTATGAAAAGTGTTGTATTTGTAGTTAAGATCAAAACCACCTGGCAAACTGAGAACAGTTGTCTTGTGAGAAGCACGCTACTGGTAGCTATTTTCATAATATGAAAATTAATCTCTAGTTGCATCATATAATTAACTGTTCATGCCAATGTAGCTCCAGTGTTTGTCTATACCTCTGGAATATATGTAAAATGAAAAAATAGTAATGACTTTTCTTATTTTTTGAGATGTTTGTGGTCAGACCTTGATTTTTAAAATGTAAAGTGAAAACCTGAGTACAAATAAGTTTTAAGTACATGTAATGGTACAGGATTAGTCTTCGTGTTTGTTAGTACTAGATTTAAGGAATTAAATTGGTTCTTGTGTCCTCTTAAATACTGCCTTTTCATGTGGTTCCTGCCCTTTTGTAGTCTAAATGCCAGGGAAATGTGTAGGAAAAAGGCCGTCCAAAGTAAAAGTAACATATTTTCATGCACATGTGCACACACATACAGACACTCCCCACCCCGATCCTTATTTTGCTTATGTCTGGTGGGTCAAAGTGATCTTAATCCTTTGTGGGGTGGCATTACTGTCCGTCGATCAAATGTCTGTTCAGCATGCATATGTGCATACATTATTTACAGAAAAATAAAATACATAGTAATTCTATTAATTATGTATTTTAATATCTGGATTGTAGACAATAAGATCAGGACAAAAACTACTGAAGAAGAAAACCACTGAAGGAGAAAAAAAAAGCGGAGGATGGTTTGGTGGTTTCTGGGGTAAAAGAGAAACCAGGAAGAAGGAAGATGAAGAATCACCTGTTCCTGAAAGTAGGTGTAGACTGTAATGCACTAACTTCTATAGAGACTTTAAGTTTTTAGATACATTAAGAAGAAAGTTATAGTATGTTTTGCTTCCTACTGTGCAGAAGGAAAGAGTATGGCATAAACAGCGTGATGTAGTATTGATCCATTTTATAGTATTACTTACTGTTAATGAATATTGAGCTGACAAATACGGCATACTTCTGAAATGGCCATAAGCATTTCAGAACCTTGGTAAGGAGAATAGTATCAAGCTCATAGCTGTAGTGTAATAGGCGACAGTTGGAGTACTGGTCCAGACAGCAAAACACCAGAATGCAGAGATTTGTTCTAATAGTGCTTCTCAAATCTATTTTAATCATTGGGAATTATGGGTACTCTTGTAATATAAATTATACTGATTTCTGTGCTACTTATGTAATGCCATATATGAAGATTACTTCTGTGTAAGTTATTTTACAATATAGAATCTCGTGCAATATGAAGAATCAAAGAAATGTGTCAGCAAAACTTAAGTACAGTAGAAAACAAATGGGAGGAAAAATGCTTATCATTACTAATTCAACTGCAAGCTTTTTTGGGTTTTTGGTTTTTAGCTATTGATGAATTAATGTCACCAGAAGAGAAAGCTAAGCTTTTTACTGCTATTGGATATAGTGACAGCTCCCATCACCTTTCCTTACCAAAGCAGGTAAGCAACTTCTTATGGGGATGGTTTAAAAAAACCCTGAAAACCAACCAAGCAAAAAACTGTTCTGATGCATATTAACCATATGCATCATATGCATATGATGCATGTTAAGATAAGCAGTAGTATGTGTGTCCGTGCAAGTCAAATCTGTTGAATGTACAAAGACTAAAAAAAAAAATTTTTTTTAAAAATCAGAAAACACGAAGAATGGCTAATGTTTTCTTTAGTGGTGTTCTGCCTTGTGCACAACCCTAATCTGGAGTGATATAGATGTAATAGAAACTGGATGATAGATACTTATTTGTAACTCGGAAGAGAATAAAAATGCTAACTGTAAATGTAAAAGCATTCCATATTAGCTTTTTCATTGCATCTATTTCTTGCTACCTGTTGTAGTGAAAACTAAATTAGTCTGTATGGTCTTTTTTGTTTGGTTGTTTTTTCTGTCTTTTTTTTAATTCAAAGTTGGTTTGATTCTGATAATTGAGTAGTTGTTTATATAAAGGTGAACATTAGCATGTGATTTTTCCTGTCTGACCCAATGTTTATAACTTTCAGGGATGCTTTTGTTAGAAGGATCATGTTATGCTTCTAATAAAATGTTTCTCTTAGTGATTAATATTAGGAGTTTTCAGTTGGTTTTTTTCTACTATACAAAGGAAAGCATAAAATTAAAAAAGCACTTTTGTAACATATTTTTTGGCTTACTAAGCAAAGGATTAAATGATAAAACTTTATAGGTAGAGCATTTTTGAGAGGGTTTATAGAAAGAAAGCTAGAAAGTAGACAGCTAAGAAAATATGAAATGGTAATGTTTCTTTCAGTATATTTATTTTCTGTGGGCAACTACTACGTTGTTGTTTTAAAACAACTCCTACGTTGTTGTTTTAAATCTTGATGTGACTGGGTGGTTCTGCTCTAAGTTGCTCCTCACTTACAGAAGCATTTTGTACATTAAAAATGTTTCCTTCAAGGAGGATGTTGTCTCTTCTCCCAATGGGCCTCTTCACTCCCCAACCCAACACTCCAACTTTCCAACCTTGTGTATATTTGTTAAAATTTAATTATTAGAAGCTTACATGTGCCTAAATCAGGGAAGTTCAGGATTGTTTGAGTGGCAAAATGGAGGCCTGTGTGCTATTGTATGAGCTTGTGTTCTTGTCAAAATGCAAAGAGCAGAGCAGCAGCAAGCATCTCTTACCAGCAAAGAGACACAGGCCAAACAGTGCCCAGTACTGGTGCTTTTTTTTTCTTTTCTGTTTCATGCTTTTCTTGCTAACCTGTGTAGAAGAACTTCCATTTTTAGACCAAATTCCACTTAGACAAAACAGATGTAAAGGTACTCATCTCTTTCAGTACCCTGAAGAAAGGTGCAGGCTTCAAATTGAGATAAGAAGTATTATTTGATTCTTCTTAGGTTGCTGATTGACACAGTCATAAAATGGTACGTGTGTCAGGAAGCCAGAACCCTTTCTTGACAAGGTTGAGAGATGACATTCAGTAGCAAGACTGACAAAGGTGTATATGAATGTTTTCTAAAATTTAGTTATTTGATGGGATTATGATGATTTTGTTTGTTGATCTTGCTAGCTCTCTACTGAGTGTAGTTTAGCTATGCTTGCTTTCCTGTTTTTAAAAAAAACTTCCCTGAATCCTGAAAAGAGATATGGACTATATCTGCTCTGCATTTCTTGTAATACACTGTTTTATGTTAAAGAAATGATTGATAAAGGTTGAAGGAAGGTAAAGACTCTATACTTTGCTTCCTACGTAGGGATATGTATATTACCTTAGTCAGCTGGAATAGCTTTAAATACCGTGTTTTATTAGATTTGTTGAAATTAGGAGTTCTGAGAAATTATTTGTATCAAGATGACTAATTGTAGTTTTCTCTGTCCTTCTCACTAGTATGTTGCCCATGTTGTGACGCTGAAGCTGTTAAGCACTTCTCTTACAATTAAAGAAGACAAGAATGTGGCAGAAACTCTTAAAGTACAGATAATTGATCTGAGTACCAAAATATCACAGCGCCCAGGAGCACAAGCCATTAAGTAATTGGATTGGTATTTTCTTTTTGTAGACACATCTTCTCTCCTCCCTTCCCTCCCACCCCACCCCACCCCTGAACATTTTTCATCTTTTCTTGTATAGTGCATTATGTTGAATATTGACTTTTAAATTTATGGGCATTCTGCAGTTGCACTCTGTTGAGAAGTTATGGCCACATAATTTGGTGGATAACATAACATGGAATGAAGAGAGGAATACTATTTGTTAGTCTTCATAAACAATAATCAGCTCTTCCTTGAATCCAGATGTTGAAGTACTGAATATTACTTTTGGGAAATGATACCTAAGTGGTGTGAAATGGTCTGGCTAACACACTCCAGCCAGGCTACTGAATGTGTTGCTTGCTTCCTACAGAAATGAAAAACTTGTGTCTGTGTGTTGTGGGTAGGAGATTAACCAGCATGTAGGAAACAAAGTCCTTCCTGTGTTTTAAGAGAGGGCGCACCAGAAATATTGAACACAAATTATTGGATTATACAGTCAACGAATAAGATTTTCAGTGTCTGGAAAACTAGTCTGTGCACTTTTCAGGCTTTCATTTGCAGTTCCTTCATCTTCTGACTTTATGTGTAAGATCACCAGCTCAGCTGCTGACTTTTGAAATATTTTTGCTAAAAGCTGTTTTGGGGACTGTTAAAGGTGCAGCCTGAATGCTGTACAAAAATAAAAAGAGCTTTGGGAATATTTTACATGAATGCATGCCATGTAATTTAGTTGGCAAGACTGAAGCAGTTCCATAGATACGTTAGTTGATTTTAAGTTTCTGGAAAAATATAATTAGGTTATTTCAGTGGAGCCAGGCTTGTGACACTGATTATGCCCAAACCGTGTTGCCTCCCAAAGTCAAGGATTCCAGTGATGGAGATCCAGGACCTGAAAATTGGTATCATATCTAATAGGTATTTCTAAGGTCGAATGAAGTTTGTGTGGTTTGGTGGGGTTCCTATGGCTTTCTTTCAGAGGCATTTTTCTACTGACTCCACTTAACAGTATTGCCAGGGAAGCTGTCAGTAAAGAATACCTCTTTGCACCAAAACAAGTCTGTAACTGATTTTTGAAATCAATACGTAGCAGTTAACGTTCCTACTCTTTTCACCTGCAGCATAAATATTCTGCCTTTCTTTTCTCTTGCAACTGATTTTCTTAATAAACATGAGCTGAAAGCCCACATTGCAGATAACAGCAGGTAAAAAGAAAATATCACCATTGTGTTGCTGTGAACAACTTGCCTCCTATTTATTTTTCCAATTTATTAATGTAACAATTTCTTAACCATGTGGTATGCTAGTCCTATGAAGCTAGTCGTGTTTAGCTTTATCAAAGGCTTTCTCATCTTGCTTGTCTTTCCTAGGTGGAACTGTGTTCTGTATTCTAATTAAGTATTATTAACTATTCATCTTCTTTAGGGTTGAAGCAAAGCTTGAAAACTGGTATGTTACAGGCCTGAGACAAGAAAACATTGTACCATCTCTTGTGGCTTCCATAGGGGATAGCAAGTCTTCTCTGCTTAAGATAGAGTTTAATGTTAACCCAGAGGATAGTACTGCTGACCAGAGTCTTACTATTGAATCACAGCCTGTGGAAATAAAATATGATGCAGTGAGTAGTAACCAAAACTCTTACCTCTTTTTCTGTTTCTCCTTTCTCTGCTGTTATTCTCTTTGCTCTGTCAAGATCCAGTTTTGAGTTTTTACTGAATGACTTCTCTGTATATTGTTAATTCTTGTTTTTTGGTTTGTTTTTTTTTTTTTTTTTAAAGAGAACAATAAATGCAATGGTAGAATTCTTTCAGACAAGCAAGGGAATGGATCTTGAAAGATTAACATCAGCCACATTAATGAAGCTGGAAGAAATCAAGGAAAGAACAGCTACAGGTAGGATAATAACAACTCTCACCTGAGGTGAACCCTTGAATGTCCTAAAATGTTTCAATATGATTTTCTAAACACTTCGCTTATGTTTTGATTGCTGGCCAAATAGTATGATTGGGTTTTTTCCTTGAGTTTTTGTCTTAGAGGATTAGTGGATGTTTTGTGGGGAGGAGCATTGAGTTTGGTGAGAAATCAGTAGAAAGTTACAAAAGTAAGTCTTTACTCAAGATGCATTATCTTTCAGATAGATAGCATCTCTTTATATGTTGACTAGCACAAATGTTTCAATTGTGATTAGCATTTAAATTTTAATGTCCCTTTTTATTTAAGGATTAGTTCATATTATTGAAATGCGGAAAGTCCTTGACTTGAAGATTAATCTGAAACCTTCCTACCTTGTGGTTCCACAGACGGGTTTCTACCATGAAAAATCAGATTTGCTGATTTTGGACTTTGGTACATTTCAGGTATAGAAATGACCCTCTTAAAAGCTCAGAGGAAGAAAATATTCTTTTCTCTCAACATAGGTGTCATCTGAAACTGTCTTGTTTTCAGAATGCAGAGATAATCATCTGTGTGAATGTGTTTTAACTTATTATGTTTCTTACCAAATAAATTTAGGTCAGCAATTTGATCAGTGTTCAGAGCTGTTAAGTTGTCTTTGACATACTTGCACTAGTTAATCTCCCCAGGAAACATTTTCATTTTGTCATCAAGATTGTAATAGCTTATAATTTAATATCTTTCACTTCTTCAGCAAAGCACATGAACTTTTTTTCTTTTTTTTGTAAAATGATAGCCTTTTATTAATAAAAGAGAATATAATTTTTCTCTTGGAGTTTGAAAGTTGATTCCCTTGTTCTTATAAAATTGAAAGATTACAATAAAATTGAAAGATTACAATAATTTAACTTGATTGTAGTTGACTGATTAAATATTTTAGTTGTACTCCAACAGTAAACTTGTAAACTAAGCAAAATTCTTTTTTGCGTAGCTTAAGTAGATTGACAGAAGTAATAAAAACCAGCTTCTTAAGTGTGAAATGAATGAAGATCTCTCTCTGTAAGAGTCCAAATGTCAGTCATAAACTCTTATCTATCATCTTTTTCATATTCACTAGAATTAGTAGCACATATATGTAAGTTGTAGATTTAACTTTATCTTGTGCTTTATGTGTTTAGCTGAACAGCATAAATCAAGGCAGTAGTCAAGCTTCTAGCTTTTCATCTTTAGAGGAAATTATGGACAAAGCTTATGACAAGTTTGAAGTGGAAATAAAAAATGTGCAACTTCTTTTTGGAAGAACAGGTAACAAAACAACATCGTTGCTGTTGACTCAAAATATTGATGAAGGCTACCTACCTGTGATAAAGAAATATGTTTTTTAAAGAAAAAACCAAAACTAGTAGTTAACTGTAGGATAGATTATAATACACGTCTGGTATTGAACTGTAGAAAAAATTTGTTTGTTTCTCTTCAAACAGCTGCTTGCTTTTTCATTTGGTCTTGTGTATCACCTCTTTACTTTGATGCCAGCAAGCAACTTAAGTGCATACAACTATTATGTTTTCTGTCATATGCAGGAAAACACAGCTAAAATCTGCCTTAATACTTCATTTGGACTTAAGTTTGTGCAGTCAACAGAATGCTAGGTTACTGTTTTATATTTATCTATCCATGTATCTATTTTTTTTTTTAGGGTTCTATATTCAGATGCATCTTTTAGTGTAGAATTTGGCTTACAGTTGCTAAGGCAATATACTATTAAGAACTAGTGAAAATGGATTCAAAAGCTCTTAAAATACTTTACCCAAACTGTTTTAGGTTTGTCTAGTTTCTGAGTTCTTTAACCTTTCCTGGTGATGCCATTTGATTACTTTAATGATACCTTAATTAAAGCAATTAGCAAGCAATGGTCTTTAATCTAAATTTACTGAACATTCGCAGGTGAAGACTGGAAGAAGGCTCGTTTTCAACATCCATCAACTTTGCACATATTACAACCTATGGATATTCATGTGCAGTTGGCAAAATCGATGGTGGAAAGAGATACCAGGATGGCAAAGTAATATATTAATGTTGAAAGGACTTCTTTTTTAATTACTGTGTACTTAGAGAAAAGAAAACTGTATTTTCCCCAAAGGTTCAGTTACACTTTATAATTTCAAGGTATTAACTTAAGAAATAGAAGCAGCTTACTACTACTTTTTATGAAACCTTCTTTGGCTAGTAGTTCCCTGGTCACCTTCACTGGTTACTACCTATACTGTTTAAACGGAGTCCAAGACCTAGTTTTAATGCAGAATCACTAGCTTTACTGTGATGTGATCTTGATGTACGAGTATAGATATTGGTAAGATTTAAATCAAGAATTGGTATGGTTTTTTTTTTTTCTTGGAGTGTAACCTTTTATTTTATTTTTTTTTTTTTTTTAACAAAGGTTTAAAGTGTCAGGAGGACTTCCTTTGGTGCATGTCAGACTCTCTGACCAGAAAATCAAGGGAATTTTTGATCTGATTGATAGCATTCCATTGCCTCAGAAGTCACCTGTGTCAGTTCCAAGCACAAAGGTAAGCTGACTTTAAGTAAAAAAACTGAGATAAAAAAAAGACATCACTAAAGTGAGCATTATAAATGTGAATTCCTGCTAATTTCTGTGGTCGTCTTCACTTGAAGTAAGAGATCTGTTGCCAAGCTGAGTGAGGCCAAGTGTCTTGATTGTGACTTACCAGAACATGCTGGGCTTATTCAGACAGGGCTAGCTTTGTCATTGTCCTAGGCTTTGTCGTTGTCCTGCTGGTTTCAATCTAAGTATTGGCAAAACTGACCTTTCTAAGTAATATGGGGGAGGCAAGGTGAAACATGGATCATCAGTAGAAAATATTACTGAACATACCAAACATGCAAACTTCAAAATAATGTGGGTTTTTTTTTTTCTTTTTTCCCTCCCTCTAGGTACTGGCTATTCCCACAATTCCTGTTGTTAGCAAAGGGTTACTTAATACACACCAGTTGTTAGCAGACATAGTGTCAGGTAAGAAGCTGCAGATATGCCTTTGTAAAAGTAGAAGGCTATAACATATGGAATAGCTAACATTTTCAGGCTGCTATTGATCTTAAAACATGTTTTAAGGACAGTAGAGAAGAGTATGATTCATCATCTCTAACTTCAAGTGCAGATTTGATTAAGATGCTGATGTTACCTCAGAATAATAAACTTTTTTTTTTTTTAAAAAAAAGCAAAAAACCTTATTTTGGGGATTAAATAATATTTAGCATAAGCAACCTCTTCAAATGTGAGCTAATAATAACAACTGTATTAGGATGCCATTAGCAAACCAATTTAAATATTCAGATGTCATGAGATATCTTTTTAGCAGAGAATATTGAGGAACCTGTTATTTCAGAATTGACTTAAATCTAAAAACAGATTTACTAATCTGCTGCTGCTGTCACTTCCGGACACATACTTTGCAGTGGGCACATAAAACAGGTGAATAACATGTGTAAAGGATGTGTACGCTTGCATTAACAGTGAACATGTGGTAAAAATAGACTGTTACATGTGTACTGTCCTGAGTGGCATTAGCAAAGCTCTCATTTTTCTGAAAATGCCGAACTAGAATAACAAATGGCTTATTACTGTATTGACATTGATACCTGATCTGAGCATTTACTTTGTGGCTGTTCTAGAGAAGAACTTTCCTATAGTGGAACCTGGGAAACTTGTTCCTGGAGCTTGCTTTATAACTGGTTTCCCTTATATGCATTCTTGATTGTCTAATGATACAGCTAAACTCTAGTGCTTTCCTTAATAGGGCTTTAATTTTCTTCACTTTTCATCCAACGGGTAAGAAAGCAGCATAGCTTTAAAAAGTATACTTTTGTCATATTAGGTTTAAAATGCTCATACAGTTTAAAATCACATTGGAATGGGAAAGAGAGTGTGGAATATTTACCCATTTCTGCAAAACATTTACTAAGAAGGAAGTTCTTTCTCTTCTGCAGACTCTGAAGAAGAATATTTTGATTTTGAGGAAAGTTCTGAACCAACTGAGAAGTCACTTACTAAAGGAGAAGAAATAAGAAATAAGCAGCCTGCTAAAGAGGAACTGACAGATCTTCAGTTGAAGTTTGAAATTAAAGAGGTATATATCTTTAATTCTAATTTTACCTTCTACATGAAGAATATTAAAAAAAAAAAATCCAATACTCTATTACCAGTGTTCTCCAGATTTAGTGGATGCAAAAACATAGCCACCAAACAAAAAAATACACATGTATGTATATACATACATATTTCTATGTATAAGTTATTTATATATGGTATGTGTATGAGGTTTTTTTTAATATATGGTATGTATATGAATAAAATACATATACATACTTCATCTGTGTGTATATATTAAAAAAAAAATCAGGAAAAAATCCCCTTACTGGAGTAGTTTTGGTAGAAAACAATAATACCAAGCCATAATTTCAGAGTGGAGGGTGGCAAATTTGCCCTGGAAAAACAAAGTAAATGCTGAGGCAGGTCACTTGTAAAGAGCACATCCCACATATTTCTGTGATATTTGTATCTCTCACCATCAAACAATCACTTTTTAACCTATTTTTACACTTGAAGTCTGTACAAAAATAATACTTCGAGTAAAGCTGGTAAGGCATTAATTTTGTGTTTGTTTTTATTGCCAGTTTGAATGGTGAGAATATGACATGTGAGAAGATGGTATAACTGTATTTCTTGCTCATCCAGGTTTTAGTAGAACTCACCAGGCAAAAGAAAACTGAGGAAACGGTACTTGTATTTGATGTAATGCATCTTGGAACAGAAGCTACTGTCAGAACATATAATTTAGCAGCTGTATCTTATTTAAAGAAAATAAGCTTGGATTACTATGAAATTGGAGGTAATAAGCAATGGAAGAGAAGTATAAGTGTGTGTGTGTATAAATATAAAGCAATTGGTCTGAAACAGTGGCTGTCCTGTCTCTTGTGCTTACTGAAATCCAAATGTTCTAGTTTTCTGGTTACGGTACTTAGTATGCAACTGTCCATTGGCAGCGCTTGTCCCATTGGGACAGTTAGGAAGCTCTGGACTCCCACCATAAGGCTTTGTAGATAAATAAATAGCTTAGTGCTCAGTCTTTGGATGGAGAAGGGATACAAACTTGCCATTTTGGACTTAACAAAGAGAAACCAGTGATTCATGTTTGGTGATGCAATGTATTTTAACTAATGGTATGGAAAGCTAATCCCTACCTTCAAGGCACAGATTAATTGGAACAGAAATTACCCTAATTCTTGTGTATTTCATGTGATATGTTACAGGTAAAAAAGCACCCATTCATCTAATTAGTTCCTCAGATAAACCTGGCTTAGACCTTCTGAAGGTGGAATATATCAAGGTATACATAAAGCTTTTAAAATCTATTTTTAATGAACTTTTATATATTACAGTCTTAAATCTACTATTCAGAGCTACTGGATTGTTTTGAATCTTCTGAAGAGCACAGTGACTGGTTGCAATTAATATTCCTTCATGTGAATCATTATTTTCAGGCTGACAGAAATGGGCCACACTTTCAGGCAAATTTTGACAACACTGAACAGATGATTCAAGTGAGTGCTTGCAGATTTTATTGCTCATTTTCTTTTGGTTTGCTTGCTTAGGAGGGAGGAGTCAATAAGGATTTTTTGGCTTTCCTGTATCCTTCTTGGTTTTGCAGCAGGGGCATTTAAACAGTTAAAATGTACTTGAAAGTTTTTATACAACTTAATATAAGAGCAGCATGTTTAGTCTGTTTCTTAACTATGACGAAAAACTGTCTAGCAGGCTCGCGTGGATAAAATTTGAAGTAATGTAAGAATGCATCTTCTCATGCATATGGGATCAATATAGGGAAGTGTTTTTAGATAGCAAGTACTGAACTTCTTAAGTTCTAACTGTTGTACTGTTTGGTGTATTTTTGATTCAGAGATTTCAATCAAAGGAAAAACTGTATCTTGAGGAATTCTGGAAATAAACCTTAAAGGACTGTCAGTTTTCTGTGATAGGTACCTCCCTCCTATGCCATAACTTTATGGCATTATTTTGCCTGCCATTTTTTGATGTGAAGACTGAAATATTTCACTTGGCACCTAATAGTTTTAGAGTATCTGTAGGTTTCATCAGGGAAGTCTAGTTAATACTGGAATCTTTTTGCCAAGAAAAGGTTCCTAAGCTGCAGCGGGGGATGACATTTTACTACTCCAGTGCTACTGAGGTGGATATACATACTGAGTTGACTGACTTCATCCTACAGGACAGTGCTGATACTAAGAGAACTCAGCTTTCTATACATCATCAGGTGTTGCCTTGCAACTCTTCAGTGGGACTTTTGTGTCTGGAAGAATTGCATTTGGGCTCTTTTTCCAATTTCAAGCCCATTCAGGCAGATTACTTTTAGTAAACTACATGGCAGACACTTACCTTTTGGACACCCTTCATGGATTTGTTGAGAAATACATTTATACTAAGTATCTACATAGCAGCCACCTGCCACTTATCCATTCGTGTAGTACTGCGTTATTGCAGGAGCATTCAAGAGTGAGTCTGTGTTTGACAGAGCATATTGCTCGAGGAGATTGAATCCTAGACTACTTATTCCAGGTGTATCTCTCTGTCATCTAAGTTTTCTACTTGTTTAATGCAGTTTTTCACAATAAGGTTTTCACTCATTTAATGCTTCTAAATTAATTTTGTATCACTTTGCTTTTGTACTGAGGAGGTTCTAGGATAACAGTTACAGCTGTTGGGTTATTGTTAGGTTTGCTTATTTTCTAAGTTTACCACGTTTCTGCTTTACAGAAAGCTTTTTTACTTCATGATCTCTTTCTGGTAACACATGCAACTTTTTTGTTTCTAAGAAATTTTTATATTCCATTGGGTGTTTTTGAGTCCAACTCTTATACTGTAAGGTTTTGGGGGTTTTTTTTGTCATATGGAGTCTCATGTTTTCAACAGGTAGCTTTTTCATCATTGAACCTTCTACTGCATACAGAGGCCCTTATGTCTGCTGTCAGTTTTCTAACAGCTGTCAGTCCATCAGGCAATGAAAGCAGTGGAGACACACCAACTAAACGTGAAAAGCAAGAAGATGACACTAGATTGAAGAAAGGTACAGTTGTGTTTGTCAAAATGATGGCTCTCAAGGTGTTGCATGCTGGCAAAACGAACAAATCCAGAGAAACCTGATTAGCTTGTGGTGTGGGGTGAAGATCAAAGGTCATGTGACTTTTGCTCACTAGGCTGGAGGACTGCTTTAAAAAAAATAAAATAAATTAAACTATGATTATGATCATAAATGGTGTTTTCAGGTGAGCTTTCTATTCTTGTTTTGTTGCCATTTTACAAATAGACTTGAATATGAGTAAATGAGATTTCTGCGAGCTTCAAGGACTCAAACAGCAGCATAATCTTAGTGTTCATGGTAAAATAAAGGAGATTAATAGTACTTTGAATATGACTTGTTATTGATCTAGGCAATTTCAATATACTTTGGAAGTAGTCGAGTCCTTTGCTAGCCTAATGAAAATCTTGCTCTTCCTGTAGCACTGAAACAAAATATACATTCATATCAAAATAGGCTAGAGGGGAGCAGCTGCACTGTCTTTCATACTTAATGTAAAACTCAAGCATCAGGTGAGTTGGAAATGAGTTATCTAGTGAAGACTGTTCAGAATCACTTGTAATTTTAAATGGCCCGCGTTTGAATCTGCAGGCTGAAAAAGAAGCTGCTGCTGCATACAGTTTAACTATGGCCATAAATATTTGAGCTCTTGGATAAACACTTTGCTACTCTTGGTTAGTGAAGGTGCAGACCATCAGTGAGGTCTGATGGCTTCTGGTCTTCCCCCACAGATAGTTTCTGATGCTTTTGTGTGACTTCACCTTGTTCTTCCCAGCCTTAACACTTGCTCTTGTAAAACCTGGAAATATTAGATAACCTGAAAAAAACACTACTGTGAACCTACTGAGTTATTGATTTAATGTTAAAAATAAGTATACTGTGCAATTTGTTTCCTCTTAACACAGCAAATACCCTTCATTTAAAAAAAAGTAAAATTGTTCCAATAGAGAGCCATCACTAGATGGGAGTAACACAGACATAGAATCACAAGCAAATGCTGACATGTTTTACTCTTATCACTAGACTTGCCTTCACAGGAAGACTTGTGGCTCTGAGATGGGATGTTACAGACTTAGTCATGATAGTGGTGATGAAAGAAACGACAGGAAACAAAACTAAGTTATCTGAATGCCAAAAAGACTCCCTAGACCAAAACAGCCCTCAAATACTCTCAGGAATTCAAGGGAAAATATAAATTATATGTACTTTGAAAATCCCCACACTTCTCTCTCTCTCTCTCTCATTTCTAGTGGCTAGACCTTCCAAGGATAAGGATGTCTTTGACTTGAAGCTTTTTGCCAAGCTGGATGCTTTCTGTTTAAATATTTGTGATGAAAAAAAGAACATTGCAGAGATCAAGATACAAGGTATTAAATTCTTGGTTAGTAGTGACTGATCTAGTAGTTTAGTTTCAAAGCAACTGCTAATAATTGGACTAAAAGATATCTAAGGTGTAAATTTTCAACATCTGATGCTTTTTAAAAAATTGTTATCTGTACAAACATGGTGTGTGGTATTGTTGTTGAAGTTAGTCTTCTAGTCTGTCATAATGTTTTTGCCTCCAGCTAGAAAAGCATGATATATTATTCTTCAGGTAATTAGGTTTATGCTTTGAAGAAGTTTGGTCATGTGTGGCTTTTCACATTGTACTAAGCTTTGAATATTTTTCCGGTATACCTGAATTATTTAGGATAAAAAAACCCCATAAGACTGTTTTCTTTGGTTTTGAACTCTTAGGGTTTGTTTGGGTTTCTTGCTTTGGTTTTGTTTTCTTGATGCTTTTTTCACCCCTCAGAGGGGCTATCAATAATTCTCTGAGGGGGGAGCGAAGTTTCACTTCCAAGTTTGGTTATAGCTACCATCTTAATAGTTGCCAAAACTCTCTCTTAGTACAAATATTTAAGAATGTGTGGTATACAACAACATGTAATACAGTTCATAAAAAGTCTCTTGCTTGTGCCCATCTCTAAATCATTTGATGTATTCACACAAGATTTTGTACACAAAAGTGTATTCAAATACAGTATGACAGCATCTTTTTTGATAGAAAAATCTGAGTAAGCTAACTCAATAGCTTAGTTATATCTTTTTATAACTAAGCTATTGAGTTAGCTTACTCAGATTTATAGTTTTATAACTATTGTTTGAATACTTTTCTATGAATAGTAGCTCATTTCTTGCCAGAGATGATTGATATTGACATGATACCTGCATTAGAAATTTTCCTGTTTTGTTCAAAGCTGTAGTTATGGTCACATTCTTAGAGTTTAACAACAGGCAGCACAGTGTATGGGCTTGGGTTTGAACTCTAGACAAGATACTTATCTTGTGTGTTTGACTGATAAAATGCAAACAGTCTCTATTTCCAGAACTTGCAGTACTTTTTTTGTTCTGGAGAAGTTATGGTAGTTGGGGAATTACTTGTAATTATTCTGATTTGGATACAGGGAGACTAAAATGCCTTGGATTGAATAGAGCTCTTTTATTTACAATCTCTTCAACAAGGGATGTGTTAACTGACATTTCATTTGGAAACAGAGGAGAGAATCAAGTATGCTTAGGTACTTTTTTTGTGGGTTTCTGAAAAATCTTTATTGAATATAGCAAACTATTAACAGAATAATTGTTTGTTGCAATGTATAATTTCTGTAACTTTTCTCACCTCCCCTCCTGGTGTTGTTTGTCCTCACCCTGAAAATGGGTGTTATTTCTGTCACGCAGTACTACTGTTTCTCTCTTTATACTTTACAGGTCTTGACTCATCTCTTCTCCTTCAACCAAGTCACACTGTATTCTTTGCCCGGCTTAAAGACATAGTTGTCATAGATGTTGATTCAAGGACCCTTCATAAACAAGTACTCAATTACAAGATTTTAAGTTTTACTTGATTCTTGGTTAGTTTTGTGTGTATAAAAGTAAAATGTAATACATATTCTATCCTTTTTAAAATGTTTGATTTGTGATGAGTACCTTTTTTCAAATAAGATAAATGGTAAAGCATAGTTTTCATATTGGAAGAATAGATGTCCAAAAAGATTTTAAAAAAAGTAATAAATAAATCTAACATGTACATCTGATAGGCTCACAACATATTTAGTTCTTTTTTGTGTTAAGTACCTTTATAGAAGCTGCTGATGGCTAGTGGGTACTGTTTCTCTTCTTAGGCTGTGTCTATAGTAGGAGATGAAGTTTTCAGTTTCAATCTGACATTAGATCCATATGCTACTGAGGGAGAAGCCTACACTGACATGTCAAAAGTGGATGGTACTGTATCTTTGAAAGTAGGCTGTATTCAAATAGTATACCTTCACAAATTTCTCATGTCTCTTCTGGTAAGTCTTTTTTTCCTTTGTATGTTTCTGCTGCATTCTGAAATGGGTCTTCCTTGTTTGTGTCCCCAGTACAAGTGGTAACTTAAGTTTCTGAAAGAGAAAAGATAGGCTTAATTTTTCATGTGTACTATTAAAAAACTTTTGATAAGTAAGCTTTAACTGGTTTGAATTTCAAAAAACTAACATGGTGCAAGTGGGTGACTTCCCACCCTCTGCTTTGGAAATAGAGAAAACCTTGGTGCTATTAAGATATTTTGAGGGTTTTGTATTTGCTGCCCTCTCCCCCTGGCAAAAACCCGAGTTCATTGCAAACATATCTGAGCTAACATTAGAGGCCAAACTTTCAGTGAGGTTAGATGCTATGAGGACTGAAAATTAATCACTGACAAATACCTTTGTCAAGTATCCTAATGTTGGCTTTTTCAATAAAGCATTAGTGGGCTTTTTGTCATTCAGTACAGGCTTTAATAGGAATTAGTATTCACTGGGGGCAGAGAGGGACTCTAAAAATAATACATGTCCTCAAAAGCTAATGAGGTAAAGGAAGCTAACAAAGGAAGAAAAAGTAGAGGTGGGTTTAACATGAGTGGATTGTACTGGTCAATACGTTTTTGCCCCTCTATTAGAGGTCATGACAGAAGGCACTCAGTTGTCTTTCCTCAGAGAAAATTTAATATAGTAGGCAGCATAATTGGTGGGTGGTGCTGGTTGACGATGTAAAATGAGATAGTAAAAACCTGTTTACAGACATTTCTCCTTTCTCTTCAACCTTTTCTTGTAGACCTTCTTGAACAACTTTCAGACAGCTAAGGAGACACTTAGCGCTGCTACAGTCCAAGCTGCAGAAAAGGCTGCTACCAGTGTAAAAGACCTGGCTCAAAGGAGTTTTCGACTTGCCATGGACATTCACTTGAAAGCACCAGTTATAGTCATTCCTCAGTCCTCAGTTTCCCCCAATGCTATAGTCATAGATCTTGGCTTGATTAAGGTTCAGAACCAGTTTAGCTTGGTGTCTCCAGAAGGCAGTTTGCTCCCTCCAGTCATTGACAAAATGGCTGTGCAGCTAACAAAGCTGAAACTGTCAAGGTAAAGTGCACTTTACTAAGTAATGCCTTAGCTAATTAGTAATGTTAATACTCTATAGGATATCAATGTACTTGCTTAGAAACCATGGTTGGTGACAGTGTCAAATACTTGGTATTAAAATACTGACCTGTTATCTTAAGGACAAATAAATCAGTGGTAAAATAAAATACTCTTCTGCTCAGGAAGCCGTTTAAGTCTAAAGAGATACTAAATTTGAGATTAAGATATTACTTCGGAAATGTAACATATGACTTAAATTCTGACTTCCCCATCATGTGTTTTGTTGTTTGTTTTTTTCCCCGCTCCTTTTGTTTTAAGGATCACTGTGGAGACAGGTCTGTCACATCCAGACATTCAAATACTTCACCCTATTAATTTAAGCCTGTCTGTGAAACGAAATCTATCTGCAGCTTGGTTTCACAAATTACCAGTATTGGAGATCACAGGGTATCTGGATACAATGAATGTAAGTCTTGTGAAAAGAAGGTGGTGAGAAGCTTGTGATAATACTTAATGTAAAACTAAGCTTTATGTTATTTCTGGACACAAAGGTGCAAAGAGCTGTGAATTTTAAGTAGCTGTGGAGTGAGTTTCAGCGATGTCAACAACCTACCTGTGTGAATGTAGAGGTTTGAAAGCATTATATCAAACATCCAAACTGCTGTGTAGGTTTATTAAACTGAGAGAAAGAAAAGAGAAAACCAGAAGGGATGTCAAAGAGTTTTGTTTATTCCCTGCCATGAGGCAGGACCAACTTAAATAGAATTTTTTTCAGGCAGGACCAGTTCTCCTAGTGAGTCTTTTTTCAGTGTGCTTTTTTTTGTTTGATATGGGGGTTTTTGTTTTGGGTTTGTTGTTTTTGGTTTTTTTAAAGAAAAACAGAATCTTCTTGAGAGGAATTTAAATTTATGCAAATACTTGCTTTAGGAAGTTATGAAGCTGGAGTTACTGTCTCCCATGAATGACCTCAAGATAGTTGGTTTTTGTGGCAATTTATATACTGTGAAAGAAAATACCAGGTACATCTTGGGTGAAACTGGAATTAAAATATGAAGTAACAGGTCGTTTACAGGAAAGTATTGCAGCCTTGATTTAACCTATCATTGCTTTTAATATGTAGATATATATTTTGATACAGCTTTAGAAGTCACAAACTTCTTTAATCTCCTAACCCTTTAACAATAAGCAGTTAAAAAATTTCATTGTGTCATTTTAGGAAAATGCTGCTGACAAAATACCTGTAAATAAGCACTCTTGTTGCCAGGAAATGTCATTCTGCTTTGTTAACTAGTGATAAGTTTAAGTTTTTTTCCTCAGAGCCGTGTTCTGTAATTTTGTAGGTTGTGTTAAGTCAAGAGGATTTGAATGTCTTTCTCAAAGTGTTGACGGAAAACCTTGGTGAAGCAGAAGGGAAACAAACTCATGCAAAATCAGTGCTGCAAAAGGAAGGTCAGAGATGGAATTTGTTTGTTGTGAATATTAAGTGTGTTAGCTTTCAGGAATAATGAAAAGTATTTATTATCTGGAAAGCAAGCTTAGATCTGAGAATATGATGCGTGATAAACTCTTCTTTTATTTTGCAAGAACAGTGTTCATACTCTAATACTTCAAAAAAGTGGAAACATTACAAGACAAACTTTGGTAATCATGTTAGCTAAATTGTCACAGAACTAGCGAGGTATTGAGATGTCAGAGGAGTCTTGTTGCCGGAACATGCTTCTATTTTCTTTGCCTGCTCTGAAGTTAAAGGCTCTGCTTGTGGAAATGTTGCTAGGTTATATTGGGTGAATGTAAGCTATCTAAATGAATAAAAGAATTGGATGTGTTTCTTGAGCTAAACAAATGGTGGCAATTTCAAAAGTTAACCAATTTATTGAATGCTTCAGGTAAAACCAAAGAAATGGAGAAATCAGTTTTGATGCAGGATAAGAGTGTTCCAGAAGAAATGCTGTCTGAAAAGAGGAAAAAACCATTAAACGAAGATGTAATCAATATGCTACTTAATTTTGAAATCAAAGAGGTATGTATGCATCTGTAAGACTTATTGTTACTGAATCCAATACTCAAGTCTGTCTATTAGAAGTAGTGGGCTATAAAGTCCATTTTAAATATTTAAAGAATGTGGTACATATCAACAAAAAAACCCCCAGAACCCACATTATTTAGCTGTTTCTTTAGCTGTTTTCTTTTGTCTATATTATGTGAGATTGTATTTCTAGAATATTAAATATACAAAATACATCTAACAGGGAAAACCAGACTTCTTTTAGATGTTCTGCACTCGCCTAGCCTATATCCTTGATAATGCTGCATATGATTCTCTTAGTAACAAACCACCTGAAATAGTTAAGCTAGAACTAGTATTTTCCCTTAAAGATACTAAATCTGAAGGTTAGGCTGTAGGTCAAGTATTGGGAAAATGACAAACAATCTTTTAACAAAGATACCTATTCATAAGAAATCGTCCAAGCATGTTTTTTTTCTGGAGAGGTCTGTGATACTTAAATGTGAAGAGCTCAGCATGACCTTTCATTTTTTCAAGAGTCAGACCAAACAGCTTAGGTATGCAGGTTATTTTAAATAACTGTAGAGTTTGCTGGGTTTGTGGGTGGGGGTTTTTTGTGTATAATTTTTGTTTCGCTAAATCTTTGTAGGTGTCTTTGTCCAATACAAAATCTGGGTTCCTGTTTTTTAGATAGGAAAAAACCCACCTTCAAACAGAAAACTATTCTCTTGCTGAGTGAGACTAGAAACTTCTTCCTATTCCCATCCACCAGGGAAACATATTTTCTGTGAGTGATATCAAATCATAGAAGAAAACGTAGTTTTAAGGGCATCAGAAATATTTGTCCCACAGCTGAAGTGTAGACAGGCAGCAAGTTGAATCCATCCCAGGTTTTGGGTTTTCTTGGTTTTTACAGAATTACAATTGAAATTGGCTGATGAAGTATCTGTCCACAAACAGCATGTAGTTATTCAACACGTATCGCTAGTACCTTTGGCAGCTTCTAACTTTCAGATGTACTGTCTTGGCTGCAAAGAATTTTTTTAAAGGTATGACTGAGGCACATTACAGGCTAGCTTGTAGTGCGCCATGTTGTCTTATTTAGTACATCTTACAAACAATTCTGTCTTGTTTTATATGGTTTTACATGCACGTCACATGGAAATTTTTACTAAGGTAGTGTTCACATTGTGGACTGTATATGTTGGGTGATTAATGATAAAATGCTAGTTTGTTAATGTACAAAGAGTATGCCACATAATGATGCAGAGAAAGTATTGACAGACTTGAATTCTTTAAATTTCTTGTGTGGTAAATTGTTAGGTTAAGGCACCATTTTTAGTTCCCAAGAATGGAAGATAACTGCCTCATGAAATAATTGCATTAACATTGTTCATGAATAACTATATCTAGTTCTTCTACTTTAATTTTCAGCTACATTTAGAAACAAAAGGGGTTTTTTTCTCATTTTCAACTTTCTAATCCGTGTAATGCTTAAAATACTCTATGAACAAAGCATTGTAATGTTGAAACATTTCTGTGTCTTAAATTATTATTTGCATAGCATCTGATATTCAAAGGTTGATTGACATTACGGTCTCTTCTCTGCTGCCCTTCCTTGCAGGCCAGTATGATTTCAGTAACTTTTTTTCCATATTCAAACTCTGTATGTAGTACTGTGTAGTGTCCGATTACAAAATTAAAACATAGCTTGACAAGGTAAAGATACACTACTAGGCCAACAAAATTAAGTCCTAGCCAAATTAATAGACTTGGGATTTTTGTTTTGTTATTGAAGGATTTAAGAAGTGATTGTTTGCTTGGCCAAGAGGAATAGAGGGGGTAAAAAAATCTTTAGCAAACTGGTGTTGCAAGTTCTTTTTGTAAAAAAGGCAAAATATCTAGATTAATAGTACATTTGAAGCTTTGCTGTGGAGATAATGCCCAGTTATAATTGCATCCCATAATATCTGGACAGCTTGACTGAAATAGTGAACTTATTTCCCTTTCCATATTCAAGGTTGTAATAACCTTGATGAAGCAGGTTCAGAAGGAGAGATATCCATTACATACTCTAACTGTGCTACAGCTTGGAACCGAAACTAAAATTAGAAATCACGAATTGACTGCAGCAGCATACTTGAAAAAAATTATTATGAGATGCATTGAAATAAATGGTAAGTCTTCTAGAAAACTGGTACGCAGTCAGTACAGTGTGTGCAGTCAGCTTTTGTAGCAAGAGGATAACATGGTCAAAAATAACAATAATTAGTGCGTGGTGGGGGGGAGGGCAGGAAGTTACATGCCAAATTCACTTAATGATGCCGTCCTGTGTAATTTAGATTTAATTCATCTGTTTTACCTGATACCAAGTTTTACTTCTGTTGCTAGAGTTAGCCTGAGTTAATTTATTTGAGTTAGTTGCCTACTTTGAGTAGGAATGGTCATTCCTGAGAAGTATTCTATCTGTTCAGAGAGTTTTGATGAGCTTCTGAGCCTGTGCTTTACGTCCAGTTCTGGCAGCACTGGAAATCCAGCGTGCTTCCTTGATTGGTCAGGTAACAGTTCAAAGTGATATTGAGGGAATACCTGAAATAGCCATGTATTCAAAATAGAAAAAAATGAGTTTGAATATTAAGACTTAAAGATAGGAATGCAAAATTAATTATAGGAATGCAAATAGCTTTCCAATTTTGAATCTTCTTTCAGGACCAAGATAAGTTAATTTTGATTAGTTTAATTAAAAAAAGTAAATACAGCATTTTACAAGGTAATTCTTAACCTGCAGCTTCTCTGTGAAAAGAGATGTTAACCCTCACTATTTCAGCAAGAATAGCATATAATTAGTATACTCTATAGGTGGAGCAAAGCTTGTGTGTAGAAATACTTTACAGTTTTCTGTTTCCTTATTTGCAGACTCAAAAGGAGATCCTCTTTGCATTATTAATTCTTCAAGTGAGACAGATGAACATCTTCTGAAAATGGAATACATTAAGGTTTCAATACCTTTTAACTAAGATTATATGGGCAGTAAAATAAGGCTTCCATATGCACTAGCCTGTGTTAGATTTTTTTCTTTTCTTTTTTTTTAAAACCTGTAGGATTTGTATCTAAAACTTACCCAGATCTTCTCCCAAATACCTGTTTTTCAACTTACCTTTTCATTTCATTCTCCACTGCTTCTATAAAGTGCTTGCTGCATAAGTCAACATAATTACTGAAATCACTGGTGAAGCCAAGTGTTTGTGTGCATTCTTCTCTGAATAATACCTATTAGTACTTTTTTGTGAAGCTTAATAGATGAGAGAGTCTTTGCCTATGTAAGTGATAGATGCCTCTCTATGGGGGGTAAAACCAGCATTTCAGGAGTTATTTGTTGGTAGCTACAGTTATTGAGTGTTTATTTAAAAAAAAAAAAAAAAAAAAAAAAAAAGCTTTTCAAAAACTGCATGACTATTTGGGAATCTGATAGGTTATAGAACCAGCGGACTACTTGTACTCTTATCTATAATGACATAATTTTTATAGAGGAAAACCAAGTTAACTTGTTCTGACAAAGTACTAAGCATAAATTTATCTGGTTTAAATAGATCCTAGGGAAGAGAAAATTTTGTAACTGGCCAGTTGAATTTTCACAAAATACATGCTATAAAATGCCAGAGCAGAGCATTCTGGTTGCCTTGATTGTGTGCTTTATTTAGAGAACTTGTTTTTTTCAGGCTTCATCACTTTCCATTGTTTTCTTTAGCAATGGGAATAATCCGTGTGTGTGTGTGGTAAACTCAGTTAATTCGGTTAATGAATTCATTTAATTCAATAGCAACTGACTGTGTGCTTTAGGTTTTTTTTTTTTCTTTTTTTCTTCCTTTAGGCTGATCCCGATGGACCAGATTTTGTTACTACTTACAGAAGCACCAAGCAAAACATCAATGTAAATACTGGATGTATTTCATTTATTTTTAAGCTTCTCAAATAGTAACAGCTGTGTTAACTTGTTAGTTGCCTGCTTCTTCTCTTCTGGAAACAAACAAACAAAAAATTAAAAAAAAAAAAAAGCCCCACCAGAACCCAAACCCCTGACTCTGTCATCATTAAAGCTTACTGCTTTACATTTAACTACTTCAAAGAGAAATCCAGGAGGAAAAAGATTTTTTTTTTTTTCCAGAAGTATTTAGTGTATTAATTAACTTGAAACTGTATAATGTTAGCTAGTTAAAATTTATAAGGACATATTTCTAACTGAGGCCTGTAGGATGTGTTTTATTTCTGGAGTGGTATTCTTAGCAGTATGTGAAACAAAGCCCTTGTGTTTCAGAGCTTGGCATTTCATAACAGTGAAATTGAGATGTGAGGTGAATTTTCAAACAAGCATTCTCAGAGGTCCTGTGTTCAATCAGTTCTTTTTTTTTTTTTTTTTTTACTTCTGAAAGCAACTATTCATGTCTAGTTTTGCATGGCCTCAGTGACATTTGAAGTAAGCAGGTAATTTTTCTCCTAAAATGTTCCCTTTAAAGTAGTAGTGGTGGGTGGAGCTTGCTTCTTGACAGCCACACGTGGAATTTGAAGTGACTGGACTACTTGAGAGTCAAGAAAGCTGACATCCCTTAATGTATCAGTAAAATGTATCAGCATTTACCAAGAGTTGCTTTGGCCTAGGCAGAGTTAGCTAGCTGATGCTAGGTTTCGCTAAGTAATATTGGCTAGAGTAGTTGATACTCACGTACTTTCTGTTCTGATGGCAATTTTTGAATCTTGTTTTGTTGTATCATACCTACTAAAATATCTCTATACATGATTCTGAAGATGTCAACCAAAATGCTTAGTAGTCCATGATGAAAGGCAACAGAACTAAGAGACCTTACTGTGAAAAAGCATAATAACATGAAGCATCAATTTTTAGACTGGCACAGTTCCTCTGTAGCTGTCTTAAGCTTCCCTTCCATAGCTCCCTCATCTGTTCATGGCTTGTGTTTTGTTAAGTTGAAAGAGATAGTAGGGTGAGATAGTTGTGAAATTGAGCAAGACACTTTTTTTCTCAGTTCTGTCACAGTAACTCTGAGTAGTTATGCAATAGACTGCTACTAAATAACCATGTTATTTTGTCTCCTTGCCCTCATTTTAGGTCATCTTTTCATGTTTGGATATAGTACTTCACACAGAGGCTTTGCTTTCTGTCATGAGTTTTCTCACATTCAGTGTTCCATCAGGTGGTCTTCCCAGTACTGACAAAGCATCAGACCACAAGCCTCAAATAAAAGAACAAGAAAAAGGGAGTACTCTTAGACCAGGTAACACGGTATTAGAAAGGCTGTACTTTTGTTGCTTGACAGCATCTAGCCTTTTGTTTCAAAGGATACCATTTCAGGTGACAGTGTTGCAGTCTATTTGGTGGAAAAACAAGGCATGCACAACTGTACGTGGGGAGAAAATAATCTCATTTAAAGAAAAAGCCAGATATTTTTTGCTGTTGCTTAATTTTACAAATTCTCATTACTCAATATAGCTTTTTTTCTTAGGTAGTGGTCTAACTTTTATTATAAAAAGTCAAATAAATGATGTTGCAGTGAACAGTACCAAAGTCTGAGCAACCTGGTCTAGTGGAAGGTGTCTCTGCCCACAGCAGAGGGATTGGAACTAGATGATCCTTAAGGTCCCTTCCAACCCAGACCATTCTGTGATTATTTCCAAAGCATTAGTGTCACAACTTCTGTTGCTTTCCAATCTGAAGGTTCTAAAGAGTGTTTACATTGCTGAAGATAAAGATTCTTCAGCCCTGGGAAAGCAAGTAGAAGTTCTGAACTGAAGGATGTTGTGCTTATTTTAATAATTGCTGTCTATAACCTTGAAATAGTAGGAGTTTTTGTATGGAAGCTCCTTAAGAATGTTTCGTCAGGTCCTGTGTGGTTGATTCTCGTTTTTGTAGTGTTGTTTGTGAAATTGAAGATTTTCTAATCTTTAATCAATTGGGATTTTACAGTGGCTGGCTGTTACATTTTGTGTTCTGCAGACACCTTCAATTCTGCTGCAGAAACTTTTTTCACCTAACATGCCTGAATTGGCCTTGCTACTTGTCCTGGTTCTGGCAAGGATAGAGTTAATTTCACAAGGACACTACTCTGTACAGAAAGGAACATTTCTTATGTGACTGTGTTCCAAATAATTAAATGTACACTGTATTGAGCATACTGTTGTGTGAAAACTAGGTATTAATGAAGAGAAAAAACATCATCTTGATTGCTGTTTGCCTGTGTTCGACAGTGACTGTTCTTGTGCCAGAAGAAAGCTGTGATAATAAGAGACTTATTTCAAGTCTTGACTAACAATTAGCAGTAACTTTTAGGGAATAAGTGCAGGTTGCTTTTTGAATAGTTCATATATGTACAAACCAAATAATCTAATGTTTGTTTTAAAAAATTGACTTATAATGAAGTTCTTGTATCTCTTGTGTTTCCTGTTCAGTGTCTAGTAATGCAGACCATAATGATACCTGTGAATTAAAACTCACTGCAAAGCTAAATGCATTCAGTATTACAGTGTGTGATCAGATCAGAATTGCAGACATTAGAATACAAGGTAAGGGGTTTTTATTTAAATATTAGGTTAGTTGGTGCTAACAAGAAATATGTTATTCCCCTTTGTTCATTCACTTCTGAAAGGCTAGTGTGTGCACTGCAGACGTTTCTGTAACATATGTTTGAAAATATTTTGATTGTATGATATGATTGTGCTTAAGTATTTTAATAGCCAAAATGCCTATTTTGGCATTTTCAGAGTGAGGGAAGAAAATGACTCGGAAAAAGAAGGCAATTAATTTTTAAGTGGAGTGAAATTAAAAGAAATGAAGGCACTATATGATAAATAACACAAGCTTCCATTTTTTAATAGCTAGATCCTAATGGTGGAGTTGGGAATTTTTACTCTATTCCGAGTCAATTTATGTTGGCAAATTTGTCGTGTATAGTAAGGTAACAACTTCTGCCTTGGGCTTAGCATTGGTTGTTATGTAGTAGAATGCTGGATTCTAAGCTGTTCTTATTTATATTCAGTAATAAATAATAGTTCTTTTTAAAAAAGTGTTTACTTAATAAATGCACTTCAACAAATTACCATCTTCTTCCTTTTGTCTCAAAACAGGAATGGATGCATCTGTAGCTATGAAAACTAAAAAGATTACAGCGTTCTCCAGACTTGAGGACATTGTAATTACAAATGTTGATCCAAAAACAATCCATAAAAAGGTGATGTGTTGTGCAGATTGTAAACAAACAAAAAGACCTAGGGTTTTTTTAAGTTATTTAATGACAACACTGTAGTTGATTTGCTGTGTTTTATATAGTACTAAGTACAAAGTAATGTACCAAATAGTAAACAAAATTTAATTGGTTAATTTCCTTTATCTCAGGGGAGCAAACCATGCTTCCATTCAATATTGAATTCTTTTTAATAATGTTTGCATTCATATGCTTAATTCTGAGTAGCATGAGTTAAATATGAAATGGACTATAGATAACCAAGTAAGAAGAGACATACCGTAAAATAGCTGATTCGACTTCCTTTTGTGCCTAGCATATGTGTGTCCAACTATTGCTGATAAGCTGCAGCTGATCTTTTTGTGGAAATATTTCTTGTTTGATAAGTAATAATTCTATCAATGATTATTGCTGGGAGGTATTAACTATACGGACTTAATCTTCTAGGCTGTCTCCATAATGGGGGATGAAGTGTTTAGATTTCACATGTCGCTTTATCCAGATGCTACTGCAGGAGAAGCCTACACTGATATGTCAAGGGTGGATGGTAAAATGTCTCTGAAAGTGGGCTGCATCCAAATAATTTACCTACATAAATTCTTTATGTCTCTCCTGGTAAGACATTAGTTTCGGTTCTTTTCTTGACGTTAAAAGTGTGGGGTTTATTTTTGGGTTTTTTTTGGTTTTTTTTTTTTGGTTTTTTTTTAAATGAAGTCAGCTCTTTGTGATCTGTACCTTGCGGTGAGCTGATGTACAAGCATATAGAAGTATTTTGCTGAATAAGTGCTGAAGTGTCACTTAGGTTGCACTGCTTTATAGAAGAATGACAAATATGGAGAAAGATGACAAAACAGATAATGAATTGAATTGATAGCTTTAATAATATCCTAAAAAATAAATAGGTAAGCAATGTCTTAGCTTGTGCATGATTTTAATCTTTTTCTCTTTTGAAACTTGCATGGTTGATTTAGAAGTTTCATATTTCTACCACAGCTTTACTATTTTTCTTAAATTTACATTTTGCCTTTTTTTGTGAGGCTTATTTGCTCTCATAGAACTCCTATGTTTTTTACTACCTATCAATAGAACTTCCTAAACAGTTTCCAAACGGCACAAGAAGCCTTGACCGCAGTCACTGTCCAGGCGGCAGAAATGGCTGCTTCCAGCATGAAAGACTTCGCTAAAAAGAGCTTCCGCCTCTTAATGGATGTCAACTTGAAAGCTCCAGTTATAGTTGTTCCTGAATCTTCAACTTCACGCAATGCTTTGGTAGCTGATCTTGGCTTAATCAAAGTTCAGAATGAATTCAAGCTGGTGTCTTCAGATGAATCTTCTCTTCCTCCGGTCATTGACAACATGGATGTGCAGCTAACTCATTTGAAATTATCAAGGTATACATGGAGTTTTCTTCTGAGTTGAAAAGTGTTTGTAAAGAAAACGAGTTCATGTTCTGTATGCAGCATTGTTCTATTATTTAAATATGATAGGTGATGGAAACATACTAAAACCAAACACACACACAAGTTTAGGAGTGCTTTTAGACACACATACCCACAATCTCTAACTTAGTTACTGTCCTATCATTCCTTTCTTTCCAAGAAGTTTTAATCTTAAATGCATACCTGGGTATAAGTGCGTGTAAGCACCCGTTGTTATTAATTTAAAAATAAGTATATCCATAGTTCTGTTAGATTAGTGTGGCGTTATTTGGGATTCTGCAACTACTAAATATTTTTCATCTGCTGTTTCCGCTGTCTTTTGTAGGTGCGTTATATCTGCAGATTCTCAACCAGATTCTGAAATTCTGCATCCTGTGAGTTTGACTTTACTGGTCCAGAGGAATTTAGCAGCAACTTGGTATCATAAAACCCCAACAATTGGTATCAAAGGAGACCTAAAACCAATGCAGGTAATACCAGAGCTATATCAACAGTTACATATATTCTCAGAATAGTACTTAGCCTAGTTAAGGAGCTTGTAAACTTGTTGCAATATGTATTCTGTAAAGAATGTTAGGAGACTTCCAGCTTGACTCTCCAGTTGATAGATTTGTTAGAGTTTTGATATCTTATAATGAATAGTTTTAGTGTAGCTGCGCACAAATGGAATGAAACCTATTTTTATTTTTCTGGGGGTCTGTTGGAGCTATCATTTGACTCAACAGTCAGTAAAGTCATTGAGGTTATCTGTTGAGTTAGCATTTAGAATCTAGATTTAAGATTTTAAGTTGTTTGATTTGTAATATTCAAGTTATTTGAGTGTTTAGTAGATTTATTAGAAATTAAAAGGGTAGATCTGGATCTCGAATATACAACAGTTCAAAATTATGGTTGATGTCTTTGCAGATGGAGGGCTTAGCTTTCTCTTTTAGTACGTTAACTACACGGATTTAAATGGCTAAAAGTGGACTGCGGGGCCGTTTAGTTGTTCATGAGACCGGTTTCATTCCTGTGTCTGTGCTGTGGCCAAATGCAGTACTGGTGAAGCACAGAGGAATAAGATATTGAAGAAGTACCAATTAAAAAAATAAATAAATAAAATTCTAACGCAATATATTATGGGCTAAGTGACTGTATTTTGTCACTTACTACTGCTGATTTTTTTCACAATCATGTTATTTTATAATTGGATTCAGATTCATTAACTCCTTAAAGGCCTACTGAATGACAGGTGCTTTAGTGTATACAATGCAAATCGTGGCTTTAATTTTATCTGTTTATGTTTCTGGATTCCCGAATTGTTGAGACGTGTTTATGGTCATCAATTACTCATATTTTTAGCAGGCCAACAGCCTTTACGAGACTAGAAAGCGTTGTCACGCAGAGTGTTAGTTCTTGTTGTAACTCCTGTTTGTAACAAGTAACAAAGGATAATTTAGGAAAAATAGGCATATTATTTAGGCTGTTTTGGCCAGGATAATTCTGATTAGACAGCTTGTTTATGGTGGAAGCAGCATGTTGTTTCCTGTCAGCATTTGCTTGCTATTGATAAAGATAGGGTTCTGTGCTGGAAAGAAATACTGTCATGGAAAAAGAAACTCCGGGTTTATCACTTTACAGATTGCACTCAGTGAAGAAGATCTAAGCGTTGTCATGAAAATTTTACTTGAAAACCTTGGAGGGGCTTCTTCTCAGCCAAATACTGTGCAAGAGAACACTGAAGAGATGCAGATGTATAAAGAAGGGAAAGTTCCGAATGAATCTGATTTCTGTGAGGGTATGTTCAACTCAAAAGCTGAATATGTTTAGGCAGAGGGCTATCTGCGAATTCAAACATTATGCTTATCTGAAGCACTTTAATGTGTGTAAATAAATTCTTTTGCTTAATTGTTACATATGTATTGTGTACGTGAAAAGTTATAAATAAGAATATATGCACATATATTCTCACATGGAGTGTGAGCTGTTGATAGTCAAAAGTTTTTGTAGCATGTTCTTTGCGATTCATCTTTTATAGGATGGTGTTCTTCAGTCTGTATCAGTGACTCTTATAAGTTGCAGGTGGTTTAAAAAAAGAGAGAAAAGCAGAACCAACTACCCTGGAATGTTAATGCACAATTATAAAGATTGAGGATATTAATAGTATTCAAATAGTGTGTTAACGTAAACAGTGTATGTCTCCGGATGAAATATTGTTAACACTTTGCCAAAGTATCTTTTGTCCAAAACTTAACATTCTCAATGTCAAAAAACCTACTGTTCAACCAATAGTTGAATTGGTATAGTATGAGAAGAAACAGGAAGGAAGAGTAGCGCAAACTCTTTGAGCAGTCTTGGTACTTCCTGTAGTTCTTCATTAGAACAAATGAAGAAATGCAGTAAATTAATGACAGCTTTTGTTTAAGGTTCTTAAACCACTTTATGCTAGGTAATTTTAGCGTGCATTGAATAGAACAAAGTGATATTGAGTAAATAAAAGTACAGACTATTGTTCTGAATAGTCTTCTGGATTTAGAGCTTTTTCTCTTTTTGTGACTTTCTGATCTCAATTTTAAAGCAAACCAAAAAAACCAACACAAAACCAACCCCAAACCCAGAAAACCACCCCCCAAGCCCAGTGTTCTAAAGACATGTAAAAATATGTTCTTTTCACTGACAGGTCCTCTTCTTGCGTTTGGACAAAAAGAAGTTTCTACAGTTCAGTCTTCTGCAGAATGTTATACAACACTTGAATTTGAATTTAATTTTGAGTCACTTTCAGTAACTCTCTACAATAGTGATATGAATCAGGTTTGTGACAAAGCTTTTACCGTATAGATGGGGTGGGGAACTTTAAGCTTCTCGCATGGACAGAACTCAGGATAATAAAACAAAGAGTTTTGTTGGTTGTGTTGGCTTTGTAATGCCTGCCTTATGGAGCTTATGCAATTTATCCTGGAACTTTGAGGTTTTATGGGCAGAGAATGTCCTTAATTTGAAGGACCTAAGTGCATTTCTAAGAATCACGCTTAAAATAAATAAATAAATGAACCAAACAAAACCACCCACTGTCTAATTTGGTCATTCAAGCCTTGATTCCAGTTATCCAAAATAAAAATGAAATTTTCAAAGGCAGGAATTGCTAGCCTAGGTGATGGTAGTTCTGTGTGTGGTACCCATACATTTAGTAAGCAGATCCAAGGTCCATATGGCGCATACTTCCCTTTTGCATATCCCTGAGTGTGAGCAATATGAACATCCTTCCTGTGCTGAAAACAGAAGACAAAGATGTGCAATGTTGCCTTGTTTTTATGACTTAATATGTTTTGTCCAGATGTGAAGGTGCTTGCTTTGTAAGTCTTGGTATATAGTGAACTTGTGGTATCTTTTAGGATAACTATAATGCAGGAATTTGTGGTGCTTTTTGTGTGACGGGTGTATAGTATTAAAAAGTTCTTATGAAATGACCATCATGGGAAGAAACACAACATAACGGGATTTTAATTTCTTCATATCCTTTCTGCTTATTGCTGAAATCCTGGTTGTAAATGAGTTAGTGTGATGGGAGCAGAGAGATCCTTTGATAGGAGGTTCAGAGTTCAGATGGATTATCCTTCAGTCATGCATTCCCAACAACCACTAGAAATGCGGTGAAGAAACGACTTTGACAACCCAACTTTTTTCTGTTTTCTCAGTGAGTTTCTCAGACTAATTTTTATGATTGGAGGACTGATGGCAGCAACAGGCTAATCAGATCCTTCAGTTCATGGATCAAAACACATGTGGCTAGCAGCAAGGGAAATGTGTTTATTACTTTGCTCTGTGATAACTAGTCCTACTATCTCTCATTATGTAGAAGTCTCTGCTTTCGCTGCATAGTGACAAATTACGCCTTGGTGAACTCCGGCTGCACCTCATGGCATCATCGGGGAAGATGTTTTCAGATGGCTCAATGGACATTAATGTTAAACTCAAGGCATGTACCCTGGATGATCTCAGAGAAGGAATTCAGAATGTGACTGCAAGGTAAGTTTGACTGCATCAGAAATGAAAAAACTCCTTGGAACTTGTGAGGAAGACTGTTTCCTTGTTTTATACTTTGCTTCACATGGGATTGTTAAAACTTGGTAGGGCTGTCAGCTGTTGCCTGTCATACCATGCACTAAAGCAGTGAATGACGTAATTCCAGTAATATTAAGCAAGTTGCTTGTTTTATATGTTGATTTCCCAGGAAATCCAAAACAAAACAAAAAAACACCTAGGAGGCTTGAGTTTTACAGTAAACTGTAGAACAGCTGAGCAGAGAGCTAACAGCCTCAGCTAGAGAATTCTATGCACTGAATTGGCTGGATGGTCGCACTCAAAGAATT